GATATGTATGACATTTCGTGTTCTATCTTGGTCTACGACAAAGATCATCCAAGTACTTCTCCCGCCTTGGGTGAGGCGGGAGGGAGTGTCAGACTCGCATTGACCAAAAACCACCCCGTATCTGCTCCCGCTTCGAGCCGGAGCACCGGTAACTCGGTGGGTTATCCGCAGCTCCGGAGCCATTTTGCACTGTCCTGGGAAGTAATTCAAGTAATTACTTACACATGAAGCAATTTGGCCACGTTTACGTGACAATTTGAGTACACTCAGGTCTCAGTTCTCCCACACAGGCAGGAACTCAACCATTATGTATGTCATCACCGGCGCTTCTTTGTCAAACAGCTGCTAGTTTACTTGACTCATTCATGCTCTTTAGTATGTCCTAAAAGTGCGACCAGCCATCAGTATCATCTAGCGTCCCCTAAATCTTCAATGACTTAGGGAATTCTAAGCGTGGGAGGACTATGTAAAGCTATACGTCATCCTACTGACTGAGGATAATTCACATTCTGTAGTTAATTTAAGTAAACCACGAGGCCCGAGTGAAGCGTGATGCTGGCATGCTACATCTACTAGTTCTTTATGGCTGAGTATCAAGGTTGTTGTGCTAATCACAATTATTATTATTATTGTTTGCTGCAAATGTCAACTGCGGCGATTATTAAGCAAACTTGTTATGTCTAGGTAACATTATACTCGCTGCCTATACCTAGTTTTTATTATATTTTAGAGCATTATTGTAATGACGTAATACAAACAGATTGCTACCATTGGAAGGAACGAATAAAATTAAAGTGCAGAACCTTGATATCGCAAGCGCAATAGCGCATTGAACTTTATCGTACGAAATGGATGATTTCTCGAAATTAAGGACATGAAGCGTGGGCCTGTGAGTAGTGTATCTTTAACATGTAGACGTCATAAAATATTTCAAAAACATCAGTAACTAACTACAAAGAAATTAGAGAAGAGACAGTAAACAGGATTTTTAGTTTATGAGCTCGTTTGTCGTCTGATTTTTCAACCCAGCATTTTCTTTTTTATAGAACAGGGGGCATAGGAGGCGATGCATCACCAGATGGTAAGCGATCAGTGCCGCCCATGGATATTTTTAGCATCCCTTCGGTCGAGAAAGACAAACGAGACTTTCAGACCCTTATTGACTTGAAATATCCCCGGTAGCGGCACCGGCACACGTAGGCGCGGGAAAACTCTTCAGTAAGCAGTATACTAGTGCCAGGTGCCAACAATAACTTCCCACACAACAGTTTGATTGTAAGTTCATTGTTATTATTATGTGAGAACTAGTTATTGTGAGCCGATATTGTAACAATCACATTGACACGGGAAAGAACGCATTCATACAAATATCAACAAAGAAACCACGACACATGTTCCAGCGTGCATTATCACCGACTGGCGACTAGTTTTAATAATTTAGTAATTATTACAGTGAGTTTAACAATAAGGTTGTATAGACTGCATTACAAGCGATAGGATTTCTATTTAATGGAATAAGCCGGTAAACGAGCAGACGGATCAACTAATAGTAAACAATCGGCGCCATGATTGTCACCTGAAACAGCAGAGGCGTTACAAGTGCGTTACCGGCCTTTTGAGAATTGGGAATTTGAGGATTGTGGGGATTTGCGGATTGGGGAGAGGCGTTATCTGGCCTCCGGTAACCTCACTTACACGACTAAACACAACGCAAGCGTTGTTTCACGTTGGTTTTCTGTGAGGCCGTGGTATCGCTCCGGTCGAGCCGGCCCATTTGTGTCAGAGCATGGCTCTCCCACACTTAAATAAAAAAGGATAAAAATAATATTGAATGTATGTGTAGAACAATAGCGTATCATCGTCGATATGTAATTATTGTACTCAGTTAATTACAGTACAGATTGTTTACGCCACACTTGTGTAAGTACAGTGGAGCTCACTCAGCGCTGAGTTACCGCGGGGCGCGCACCAACCGCTCTTAAGGCGATGACGGTTGCAACACTTGGTAGTCAGTTGTAGTTGAAATTATATTGAGTCATCTAGAACAAGACTTAGGTACGACAACCATAGTCCTGCTATATATAAATGCTCAAAGAATTATTTTTCAAACTGTCAAACACCAAGCGGTCACCGGTGAGCGCAACCTATTGTTCTTTAATTGTGTCTATAAATACGGTACTTGACGAGTTAAAGGATTGAAATAATCAGTCACAGTCCAAGACTGAAGCTACTCTGACTTTCCTTACTTTCTTTTCGGAGGGGCTCAAAGTAACAGTCATTGTACAGAAAGTCATACCAAAAACTACAAAATGTATTTAATATGACCTGAATTGTATTTTGAAGAGCTGCACATAACTACAATTCACTTGAATCAAAGTTAATGATCAACCTTAATCTAGTTTGTATGAGGCTAAAGATTTAGCAACATGCATTTTATAGTTTTAAACAATAAAAGAGATGCATACTGTATAGTTAGTGCTGTGCCTGAACCATGCATTCCTTTATAGGTTTGTACATTGCAACATTATCAAGAAGAAAAAATATTAAAAAATACTAACAATAACTATCTTGACAGATGTTTTGACATCTACAAGTGTGATGATCATCATCAGTGTCACATTATCAGAGTCCGCACTCTCACACAGATATCCACGTCTACAACACTGTGTCTGATAAACATCATCCATTCACCATCACACTCAGTGACCTTCTGTAATCTTATCAATTTGTTTGAGATGTTTAGCAAGTAATATAGTTCCTTGTTTAGATCTGTGGTAGCGAGTGCAAGCTTTCCTTTAGATTTGAGACTGATTAGAGTACTGGGAGTAATCTTTGTTTTATTACACCACATTTAATTATCGGTTATTTATATTAGTTAATATAAACACAGAATTGTTCAAATTAAAGGTGAATAAATAATGATCATCAGTAAGTAAAGCCAGTTTTAGATTTAATTTTTTAATTGATTATTTCATTAAAATAAAATTTATTGAACCAATTATTTAGTCTAATAGTACTTTATGCTATTTTATTTACAGTTTCAGTTTATTCATAATTATGTTATTTATGTTTATTAATATTTGTAAATAAACCCTTTTTATCATTATTTAGTGTAACTATGTGTATAACATTTATTTATCTATGACTTTGTCAAAGTAATGTAATGCCCTTACACATTTTATTATTTTATTATTAGTTAACACAATAACCTGTCACCGGACCTTATCTATTTGTATTGATATTAATAGTTTTTCTATTGGAATAATATTTTAATTATTTACCACTGATAAACTCCTATTGGATTATACTTACAAACCAATGTGTTTGGAAGATATTTATTGTGGCCTAGATCTCATTTATGATCTGATAACAATAATGTATCAGTAGTTATTATAGTTTAATAGTTGTAGGTACTGATAATAGCATCAACTCAAGAAATATGTGTTAGTCTAGTGAACATGATCATAAACTAATAATTTCCTGCTTATCTGTATGTTACGATAAATGCTAGAGTCTATCAGTAATCAGTCAGTGGATTACTTAGTGTTCCTATCATTAAACTGGAATGCCTTCAGTAAACAATATCTGAATGAGAGGTGATCACTATGTAGTATGATGTAGCACACTCAGGTACATGACTAGATCACAGACAACATAATGAATGCTTGTCTCACAGTTACTATCAAGACACAGCTCCATTAATGTGCAATTAAAGTGATTAATGGAACATAATCTCATGCTCTATGGACCAGATACAAATGTTCATAAAAGTGAAAGAGCAATAAATGCAGCTGCTCCAATGAAAACATGATAAACCTTAAGACCATGAACTGCACGTTAAACCAAACAAATACGTTTACGTTCCGCCTCCGTGCACTGCACTGCCTGCGATTTCACATTACGACAAACCACGACGAACGGACGCCGAGACTAGGCCGTTGGACATTTTAATTTTCGAATGTTCCTTTGTCCGCGCCGCAGCCAGCCAGTGCGGCACTGTGGCTGTATACCCAACACAGCCTGACTCATGTACTCACCAGCAGTTCAGCTTCTTGATCGCCGTGAGGTCCGACTGCTTGGAGCGTGCGATCACCATTTCTTCAGTGAGACGAGCCATGATCCTGCACTGCACTGACACTGGTGTTACAACAATAAAACTGCTACCGAACTAATAGAGGTTTAGTATTCACGGCGAACTTTGCGCGGAGTACATTGTGGCGGAACACGCGACGAGAACGCGCTCCGAGCGCGGCCAAATAACTGAAAACAATAAGCGAGCGATGCGATCTCGCACGATGATTCCGTTCACTTGACGTTCGTTGGCGGTCGACTTAATTACGGTAGACGTTTCCACTGACTCACGATGATAAATTAACAGCTGATATTTAACATCGGCTTGAACCAAAGGATGTCTACTTAAATTTTAAACTTAAAGCATCGTTTGAAACTAGCAATTTATCGTTTAGTGTGATCAAATTATATCTTAAAAGCACATAAAAACTTCAGTAAAATTTTAATCCATTCGAATGAATAAAATCTTAAAACACGCAAGGAAAACTAGGAAAACGCGATTTTCTTCCTGACATTATTGACATCAGTGACACTGACAGTTTCTGATCAAACAATGGAAACAAAACCGGAAGGAAACGTCATATGAGTTTTTTTCAGTTATGTAAACTGAATTTGTTACGTTCTGACTATTTGGGAATTAAATCGTATAGATTATTCAATTATTTATTTACACGATAATACCTTTATTAAAACAACAAAATCAACAAAATATAAATCTATAAATAATTATAATGATGGCGACTAATGATGGCAACTAAATAATGATGGCAACTAAACATGGCATGGCATATTGACGTCAAACGTCAAAATGACAGTGACTGTTGAATTTCGATAGTGACGTTTCGACGTCAACACTGTCAACAGAAGTTGCGGTCGTCTCTCGGACTTGTGGATTATTTAACAAAAAACGCTGAAATAGTGATATAAATATGGATTCAAACGATATATTAGATGACAAGGATAGTGGGCCGGAGGTACAGATCAACTTTCCAAGCTCCGTGATGACACGCATCGAAGAAATGATGGGAGGAACGGAGCAGTTCGATAGTGCCGAAGTTAGTTTTGGATTTTCTTTAATAGAATTATACTTTTTTTGTTTCTTTCTTACCTCTATTGAACTAATTGCATGCTTCTACAACTATTCCACTATACTAACACGTTGAATACCTTTGTATTGATTCGTTGCAGTTCGTAATTTGGTGATGAAAACTTATTTCTGTTTTGGAACACTAAGGTTGAATGATTTTGTCTAGACAAGACAACTGAAATAGTTTAAGGGCTATTAAATTATTATACCTATATGTTGACTATACTCAAACTGGATAAATTTATTAATATTTTAAGTTATGTTCATTAATACAAAACAAAGTGTATTAGTACTGTATAAACAATACCCAATTATTAAAATGATCCTGTAAGACTTGTTGTTATAGTGGTTTAGTATAGAATATCTCCTTGGTGTACAACCTAAGTTGTGCATATATACTTGTGTATTGCGCCATCAAAGTATAATTCAATAATTCATCTGCTGCAGTGTGTATACTGTATTGTCATGTATTTATTGTAACTATCACAAGTACATTGTTTGAAAGATTTACTTGTGTAAATTGTTTGTTTACCAAACGGCTTGCTGTAGCAGGAGAGGTCTGAGATGATGTTGTATTGCCCCACACTCTTAAAAAAACTCATATCTCTCTTTAATCAAAATTTGGTTTAAATTTTGTGAAGAATCCTTCAAGAAGTAATTGTTAATAGCACAATAAATATAAATTCATTGCTGTTGTTGGTCTTGACTTGCAGTTTGATGCAGTAGCATACATAAACCGAGTGTTCCCGACGGAGCAGTCTCTGTCGGGCGTGGAGAGTGCGGCGGCGCGCTGTGAGTTCCACCTGGCCGGCGTCGAGCACGACATACGGCGCCTCGTCAGGGCGCAGGCCGAGCAGAGGGATGCCGGCCAACAGGCACTGCTAGAGGCTCAGCGCTGTATTGGAGAACTGGCATTACAGGTGCTGACATGTTGTTTCTACTGATGGTTAAACATATTATAGGACTACATTTCCAGACTTCAATCAGGAGACTGGTAGCACACTGGACACCGCTTTATGTTCCACAAGGTCAACAAGCTTATTTCCGTAATAGGAAATGATAGAAATGGTACTTCGTAACTGATGTGAAAAGAGTTATTGTGTTTAAGATGTGTGCACCTCTGCCTAATCTTTCAGTGATTAAAAAGACATGATATATAAACATATTTTACATCTACCCCTTCCTAATTCCAGGTAGCGGACATAAACAAGAAAGCGGAGCGCAGTGAGAGCATGGTGCGCGAGATAACGTCGGAGATCAAACAGCTGGACTGCGCCAAGTCCAACCTGACGGCCGCCATCACGGCGCTGAACCACCTGCACATGCTGGTGGGCGGCGTCGACACGCTGCGCGCCATGACCACCAGTCGCCAGTACAAGGAGATCGTTCTTCCCATGCAGGCTATCATGGAGGTCATACTTCAAGCTTACTGTTTCTGTTCATTTCTATATAGAATAATATTGATGCTTTGAAACTACAAAGGGATAAAAGTTTAATGTAGAATGCAAAATATTATAAAACAAGCACTTAGGGTAAAAAAACATTTTTTCCGATTTAATGCATTGATATGATACCCCGTACCTACCCAAAATTTGTTCATACAAAAGTGTAGTCTCTAATCATCGGAAATAAGGTGTGTATAATGTAGTTAGTGGAGAGCGGTGATCGGGCGCCGCTTGGGGATTAAGCCTTTGACTGTCAATAAAAGACTGTTGAGATAAATCCTCCGCTAACGTCAGTCACCGGTGACCCCCATGGCGTTTAACGTGTGCAGTTAAAATTACCGACGTTGCAACTGTCACGCCTCAGTTGATTCTTGTACTGAGCAATGATGTAGAGAAATTCTGTTCCAAAGTACCAATCAGTTTCTGTAGATTTCATATTATTTTCTTTTATCATTATACAGGTGCTACAACACTTTGAATGTTACCGTGAGATCCGCGAACTGAGCGTACTCCGCGACCAAGTCACCGCCATACGAGCACAGCTAGCCGCGCAGATACTACAGGACTTCAAAGATGCATTCACTGGTACATACTATTTACATTCCGCCCATACTGATACACACACCGCCCACATTCCGCCTACACTGGTACACATACTGCCCACACTGGTACATACACCGCCCATACTGTTACACACACCGCCGACACTAGTACACACACTGCCAACACTGGTACACACGCCACCTACACAGTTACACACACCGCCCACACTGGTACACACATAGCCAACATTGGTACACGCACAGCCCACTGTGGCACACATACTGCCCACACTGGTACACATAGCTTACATTGGTACATGCACATCCCACCGTGGCACACATACTGCCTACAGAGGCACACATACAGCCCACACTGGTACACACACCGCCCACACTGGTACACACACCGCCCACACTGGTACACACACCGCCCACACTGGTACACACACTGCCCACACTGGTACAACACACCCGCCTACACTGGTACACACCCCGCCCACACTGGCACATATTATTATTATATTTACGTTACAGCGGGCAGTAAGGGCGGAGTATCACACCGCACTCTGTCGGAAGCGTGCGCCGTGGTCGACATATTGGAGCCGAGAGTTAAGAACGATCTGCTCAAGTGGTTCATCAATATGCAACTACAGGTACTGTCTATTACGACTCGTGAGAATACGATATATTCATGTACACACGGCTAAACATCGAACTATACAGAACCGGTATAAACTGACTGTTGAATATGTGGAAAGATCATACAAAGCGAGGCCATTATAAACTGGTTTTGTACAGCGTGACGAGCAGCGGTGCGTATGAGTGAATTAAATATACACTCAATATCTTCAGTAACAAAGCTCAGTTTCCCTCGCTTCTCATTCCAGGAGTACGAGCATTTATTCTCCGGCGAGCAGGAGTACGCGTGGGTGTCCCACGTGGAGCGTCGCTACGCGTGGCTCAAACGACATCTGCTCACGTTCGAGGACTCCCTCGCCGCACTCTTCCCTCACTCCTGGAGGCTCAGCGAGAGGATCGCGCAGCAGTTCTGTCAGGTACGTGCTACTTGACACATGGGCTGTCGCAATCACTGACAATGGTCACAATGACACCGGAGAACAAATGGGAATACTATGGTAACACTGTGACACTGTATGAGATGGGGACTGTACGACACAGTGACACTGAGACCCTGCATGACACTATAGACACTTTATGACACATTCTGACACTAATGACACATTCTGACACTAATGACACATTCTGACACTAATGACACAGTCTGACACTAATGACGCAGCCCGACACCAATGACACAGTCTGACACTAATGACACAGCCCGACACCAATGACACAATCTGACAGACACAGACTGACACTAAGGACACAGCCCGACATCAATGACACAGACTGACACCAATGACACAGTCCGACATCAATGACACAGTCTGTCACTAATGACGCGATCTGCCACCAATGACACAGACTGACACTAAGGACACAGCCCGACATCAATGACACAGCCTGACACCAATGACACAGTCCGACATCAATGACACAGTCTGTCACTAATGACGCGATCTGCCACCAATGACACAGTCTGACAGACACAGACTGACACTAAGGAGACAGCCCGACATCAATGACACAGCCTGACACCAATGACACAGTCTGTCACTAATGACGCAATCTGCCACCAATGACACAGTCTGCCACTACTGATCCTCTATGCCACTACTTACCAGATGACGTGTAGTGCCCTGGGCGCCCTGCTGTCGTCGCGTCGCAGTGAGCTGGACGTGAAGTTGTTGCTGTACGCGATACAGAAGACTTACAACTTCGAGCTACTTCTGCACAAGCGGTTCACTGGTGCGTACACTCCTGCCTACCCACTGCACTGGTGGTCAATTCTGACCCGACTGAATTACTAAAAAGTTTAATTATACTAAAAAGTGTCCTCAGTCAAAAACAAATAATTTTGACTTTTCAATATAATTTATTATTATTTGCCGTCACCTCTCGACACTGACAGTATAGTCGAAAACATCGTATTGGAGACTCGGTTGCAAAAGAATAGAAAAAAAAACACATTTTCCATCCTTCACATAAAATATAAATAAGTATTAACTATCTCTTAGACAGTGCACAATTAATAGAAAATTATTTTTAAACATTCGAAAAAACTATCCATTTTCCCTATTTGTAAACTTCCCTAATATTTTGATGACAGTTTCAGTCTGCAGCGTTGCAAAATTACGATGTAATTAAATCAATTAACGACTCGATGAATAAAATCCATCACTGTTTTATCAAATATGGCAACATTATGTTACAAAATGACATAAACTTACTCAATCAAATAAAAAATGTAAATATTTATCGGCGATGTATACAGGCACAGACTTAGGCGCGGAGCCCCTAGACGTAGCAGAGACCAAGCCGGACACACAGACAGAGCTGGAGCCGGGCAGCCAGGCGGGGGCGGGCGGGGGCCCGGGCCCCGCGGGGTCGGCCTGGGTGGGCCTGATCGGGGCCTGCTTCGAGCCCTACCTGTCGCTCTACGTCAGCTCGCTCGATGCCAACCTCAGCGAACTCATGGAGCGGTTCATACAGGTAAGGTTGATGTTAATGAAATTAAATTAAAATCGTATTATAATAGACATAGGTAGTATTTATCGCGCAAACTGAATGTGTATACAAAATTTCATCTCAATCGGTTGATGATATCTGCTTCAAAATTTGCTTGCAAAATTCCACTTCACAAGTGAAACAAGTGAATTTATTTCTGCAAATACGCTAGAAGGCAGCACTTTTACACGTCAATTTTATCAAGCGAACGATGAGGTCGACATTTCCTAACTGACTACTCTGAGAAGAAATGCCGAAACAAACTCAGAGGTCCGTCTCTTTTAAAGTCCAGACAAATATGTATAAAAGATTATGTGTGAGAACCGTGCAAGTTCTTTCTGTAGTGGCCTTTTGAGGAAAGAACCACAACAGTTTGAGGGGACCCGTTCTGAAAGCAGTACGCATGTGTCGGTTTACAGTCGGCTCTATTAACAGATGAGGCTGACTGATTCGACGAACAATACCAACCTAAAGAACATTTGCGTGGGTCGCACAAATACTCAAACTGTCAGAGTATAAGTAAGAAATAAGAAAAGAAATGGCACACACACATACATTGCAAATTAACTTTCTGTATTTATTATTATTTATAGTTGTACTTGGGGATGTCTTCATTCATAATCATTTATTTATATTAAACCAATCAGGGGCTTTTGTCACTCAAATAAAATATTCAAAGATAAAAAGGTCTAATTGTTCTATTTGCTCGTTTCAAACTATAGTTTCTTATGTAGAAGGACGAATAAGAAACTCAATTCTATCATAAGGCAATTCCTTCAAACCGGAGTCTCAGAGAGATGCGCTCCTATTTGCTATTACGAGGTATAAAATACAATTTCATCGGTTATATTCTTATATTCCAGGACGCGAAGGCGTCATCCTCGTCGGACAGTAGCGCAGCTAGTGTAGTGGGTGCAGGCGGCGCGGGGGGCGCCGTCATATCATCCTGCGCGGACTTGTTCCTGTTCTACAAGAAGTGCCTCGTGCAGTGCGCCAGGCTCACTACCGGGGAACCCATGCTAGGTATATATTGTACCTCTACAAGCGACCCGCCTCGGCTTCGCACGGGTGCAATATGCATGTATTATACATATAAACATGCCTTAAGAATCACTCTATCTATTAAAAAAAACCGCATCAAAATCCGTTGCGTACTTTTAAAGATCTAAGCATACATAGGGACAGACAGACGGCGGATAGCGACTTTGTTTTATATGTACTATAATGTAGTGATATCACATGCGACTCGTAATGTTACACAAGTTGTATATGTGCACCTCTGTCTACATTTTTGAGGATTCAAATGTGTTACGTCATGTTACTTATTTAGTCCAAAATCGTACAGTGAATGTAAAGTAGTTCCGTATCGTTCCACAATCGTGCTGAAACAAGTGTTGTTTGTAATACAATGGTGAAGTCGTCAGTTGTTGAGTACCTCGTGTACATAGAAGCAGGCCCCCACGTGCTCGTGTACAGTAGCGCACGTGACGCTGCGCCGGCGCATGCCTAGCTTTTTAAACTGTTTAAGAAAAAGAAGTTTTCAGTTTAGCATTGCATGTATGTTTATTCGCGATTATCTCACGATTGGCTAAACCGATGTTGATGCGGCTTTCAGAAAGTGTTTGTTACACCAAAGAGAGCTGATAGTTGTTTAATTAAAATTATAATGTTTGACTGTCTCCACAGAGTTGGCGGGAGTGTTCCAGAAGTACCTCCGTCAGTACGCGAGCGGAGTGTTACAGGCGTCACTCCCTCGCGCCATGGGGGCAGCACTGGCGCCCTCTCTCGTCACCAACCTACACACGTTACTGAGGGACGACGATACGAGGCATGCCAGGTATACTCCGCTCGAGCTGGCCAGGATCACCAGCGTCATCACCACGGCGAGTACTGCCTCGAGACCACCGTGCATCTGGAACAGAAGCTCAAGGAGAAGGTGGCCCCAGCACTCGCAGACAAGATCGACCTCACGCCCGAGCAGGATCTCTTCCACAAGCTCATCAGTTCCTGCATACAACTACTAGTACAGGACCTAGAACTGGCGTGCGAGCCGGCTCTGTCCGCCATGCTGAAGGTATCGTGGCTGCACTGGGACGCGGTGGGGGACCAGTCCTCGTACGTGACCCAAATACTGATGCAGCTCCGCAACACAGTCCCCCGCCTGAGGGACAACCTGTCCTCGTCCCGCAAGTACTTCACCCAGTTCTGCATCCGCTTCGCGAACTCCTTCATCCCGAAGTTCATCCAGAACATCTACAAGTGCAAGCCGATGTCGACGGTGGGGTCGGAGCAGTTGTTGCTGGACACGCACATGCTGAAGACGGCGCTGCTGGAGCTGCCGGCGCTCGGCTCCGACCTGCGCCGCCCCGCGCCCGCCACATACACCAAGGTCGTCATCAAGCTCATGACCAAGGCCGAGATGATCCTGAAGCTGGTGATGGCCCCGCTGGACGGCCTGGACGGGTTCGTGTCCCAGTGCGTGCAACTGTTGCCGGACTGTACGCTGGCCGAGTTCCACAAGGTGCTGGACATGAAGGGCGCCAAGTTGTCCAAGGCGCAGCAGACATCGCTCGACGCTCTCTTCAAACAAACTTGCAAGAACGCCAGCGGAGACTCCGCCAAGTGAAACACTCACCAGTACATGTGTTATAGTAACGTGTTTGTGTTGAGTGAGCTTACGTACGGCCACTACAGGGCATTCCATACAAACGACGTGGTTACTAGTACACTGACACCACTCAATAAGATTATGTAAACTCTAGTCGAAGCTCAGAATCAAAATCAAATGTGAATAAATAACGTGTTTATTTGTCTCAGTCGCACACGTACAATTTGTCACCTGTATTATAGAGACAAGAGTATGTGTCAGCGGTTTTGTTATGAAATCAATGCAAAACGACTGAAATTAGTTTCAAAGAAGCCCGTATGAGGGAGGAGATAAAGAAGAAATGCGAGTATTTCTCCCAAGTTAGTGTTCATTTTGTTTGTTCATATTGACTGTGTGTCTGTATGTTTGTGTGTGTGAGAGAAAACGCACGTAACGTGTCTGTCAGTTGCTCCATGTAGTACTATGTATACTACGTGTCAGTAATCTCTATGGAAACGTGTGAGTAGTTAGCGAAATATTATTATTTAAATTGTACAGTGTGGAACACCGAGATGTGTTATGATTATACGATGTAAATTTCTTTTGGAAGGTGAGAACCTCGCGTGATTAGAAAGTATGTAGGTTTGGTTATAGTTTCACCACAAATATCAAATCCTCAATGACACAATATCACAATCAAAATATCATAAAACAATCACCTGTATAGTTACGTCATTATTTACTTTCATCGTTTTATTTAGTCAATGTTTTATTTAATTTTTTTTAATTACTCTGTGTTCACGACTGTACTTAGACTTTTTTGTATTATTAAGTTAATAACTATGAATTAAAATAAACTAGATGACCACTCTAAGTGCCTATCCTCATTGTAATAGAGGCTAGATTCGCGTGAGTTTAGTAAGATTTAGTTCAATTCTTAGTAGATGTGTTTATGATTGGACATGTGTATGTAAGTTCTTGTAATTATTGTAAGTTTGTGATAATGTCGACATTCCACTAATCAATATCTTTATGTTTTGTAATGTGCAATAATATTATCAAACAACTAATATACATTTTATACAACTGTGTGTATTTCGTTTCATTTTATATAAGTTATTTGTTTTATAAAACTCCCAGCTATGGCCCAAATCTACTGCTGGCTACTGAAGAGTGGGCTCTGTGTATAGGGTATCCTAAATATAATAAAATATTTCATTTCATTACATTATACGATCGTACTATATCGTACTGTTCTATAATTAATGTTAAAAGTCAGTCTATTTATTTTGTGAGACAAAATACTACAGAAATAGTATTATTTCTGTAAAATAATTAAAGAGTATTTCTTTTTTAATATAATAATACAAAATGTTTTAGATATTTAAGTCGTAAGATTTAAATATTATAACGCAACTGTCCCATTTTTGTCCAAGTGTTCACTGAAGAAAGCAAAATTAAATTTGTGATTTATTAGTAATAGGAGAAAATAGTTGCATAGCAATTAACCTGTAAACACACCCGTAGTCTAATTAACAAGAAGTATGAATGCGAATTACAAATAATAAAAGCAGATTGTCGTAAAAGTCTGCAACAGCACAATAAAATCGAAAATAAAAACCGAAATAAAAACTAAACAGTTTCCTATCCAGATTAGGCTGAATAGCATGTTTACGGTTGCCTTTCCTGTTTTAAAAAGTCAAACTGTAAACAAACATGGTTGAAGCGAAACGTCAAAATCAGTCGGTCGCCGAATGCGGCGCGGCGTGTTGTCGCTTTGATAATAAATATTTGAGAATGGTGCATTTTCCGGTGCGAAAGAGCTACCAGGCGGCCAAATTTGTGTTGTTGGTTGTTTTGGTGGTGACAATCTTGTCTCTATTCGAGCAGTGGCGAGGTGGTAAGAGGAATGCACGAGCCGAGTACTCGGATCCAATAGAGGCTGAATACGAGAGGCAGATATTAGAAGACGAGGCGAGGATCATCCCCGGGCTGGGAGAGGGCGGCGCCGCTGCTCACCTGCTCGGGGAAGAGAAGAAGCTGGGTGAGGAGTCCGAGAAGAAACTGGCCATCAACGTGTACCTGAGCGACAGGATACCGTACAACAGAACTCTGAAAGGTGAGGCTTTGAAACGGAATAGCAATCAGTATAGCTACATAAATTATGATAATGAATGCTCCTAGGAGAACGGCGAGTAACAGCGCGCATATGAAACAAATTATTACTTTGGTATTTGCAGTGAAAGTATTGTGAGTTCACTGTTCAGTGTCCAACTGGAGTAGCAGCGCACGCCGCGCTCTACATGTACTGCACTGTATTAGACTGCATGTTCATTAGTTTCATGAATTACATTGTAAGAAAGAACTTCCCTCATCTCACTATTTATTGTAATTTATTTTCTCATTCAATATCGCGCGAATGATATACTACTTATAAACCACAGGCCTACTCGACTTATAAAGTCGCGATTTGTGTTTAAAAATGGAATGCTGCTCATATCGATGTCATAATAATTAACAATAAGTAAAAGTGCACAAAAATTGTTCAAAGATAAAAAGTTGCTAGTATTGTGATAAGGAACCAGTAAGCAGTATTTTCCTTATCAGTGGCAGAGGATTAATTACTATTTTCATCATTGCGTGGGAATGTTACGGTTAAGTCCTAAACTTATGTTAGGTGTATAAACAACACATAACAACACAACTCTATAACCGAAAGGGTAGGTAGAGGTGCACATTACGGCACATACAATGTAACACTCACTTTTCACTATTTATATTATGAGTCATGGGACTCACATGGGTAATAGGGCTATTGCTCCATACTTTGCTCGATCTGGTAGTTGAACCTGAGACTACTTGCCAGTGCCCCTTGGCAGTCGCACTGCGCACTCAGCATAAATATTGTAATTTTTATCTTTGTTTAATAATTCTTTCATTTCAATAGGTACCTTAAATTTCATTCACATATATGGTGCCACTCTTGGCTGAAGTGAACTAATTAATGTATGTAGTTCTCCTTTAAATGAAACACAAGTCCTCATTGTTTGCAGTATAATATTATTCCCTAAAGAAGTAGTGTAAAGTCCGTAAAGAATTAGTGTAGTGTCCCTAAGCCCGTCACTTACACAAGTAAATGTAACATTTGGCAGGCCAATCATTTTATTTTACTTTAGATTACTAGCTACTGCTGTGCGGTTCCACCCGCTCTGCTCGGTCCCTATTGGTTGTAGCGGAATATTGTACAGCCTCTTCGATAAATGGGCTATCCGACACAAAAACTATTATTCAATTTGAACTGGTTGTACTGGAGATTAGAGTGTTTATACAAATATACAAATCTTCAGCAATTGGGTAGGTACTTTCCTTAATCAAAAATAAATTATTTTGAATGTTCAATACAAAAAAATATTAAAAATTATCACATTTTCATTAATCGATTTTATGACCAACTTGATTTCAGTATTTTTCCAGTAATTTTTTAAGTATTAAATATGCTGTTTGACGCTAAAAAAACATGACTTCACAAAACACGATCTCGTACAAAATTCATAGAAAACTGTTGTTTTTGACAGTTCGAAAAAAGTATTGAATTTGACTTGTTGGCAAGTACCCAATTATAATATAACTAACTACTTCCGCGCGGTTTCACCCACTCCGCTCGGCGCCTATAGGTCGTAGCTTGATGTTTCATAGCCTATAACCGTCCTCAATAAATGGACTATCCAAGAAAAAAAGACTTTTTGAAATCGGAGCAGTAGTTTCTCAGATAGTACAATTAAACAAACCAACAACAAACTCTAGGTTTATATAGTAAAAAGTATCAGATAAGATTAATTTTCCAGGCCTGATAGTTATGATCTTTAGTAAATAAAATACATCAATTAATATATCTTATTATTTACTTTACATAATGTATACTATGTCACACAATTATATTGCATCGACTACCACATGGCAGCTGAGTTCCACCTTGCGTAATACAGCGGAGTGAATATTATCGCCTGAGCTAGCTGATAGCTGAGACATTAAACCCGCGCCTAATTGTAATGCCGCTTGTTACAACCTCGTAACAGACTCGACCGAGAATAATATATACTTTATTGCTAACAAATTGAATTATATGTTTTATTTCGCTATAATATGGGTAAACGATACAGTGACAGGTGGCAATAAAGTAATAGATAGGTAGTATTTCCACAGTTGTCGTATCAGCCAACAACAAACTATACAGTTGCCGAAAACTGTGAAGTCAGTGTCTGAGATACCTGAACTTTTTGAACTGAGAATAGAATTATTTATTTGCATTGAATTTATTGCATATACGCATACTGATTGCTGGTACATTCTACCAGATCACGGTGCGGTAAAAAGCCCTTTTCTTTGTTTTGTATTCGTAAAACTGTTCGATTACATCATTGTAAGCACTACAGTGCAAACCCGACGAGCTGTAGTTTTGAAGAAAAAAATGTCAAACTTTTGAAATATCCGTAAATCCAAAAATGAAATTCTTTTTTTCAAACTAAACTATTTGGTGCTGTTTTAAGTAGCCCCGATATTATTTTTCTCGCAATACCAACGAGGCCGAGATATTTATCTCGGTAAATCTGTATTACTAAAAACTATTAGTAGGTTTGTAAAGCCGAAGAGTTTGTTTGTTTGTTTGTACGCGCTAATCTCCAGAACGACTGGCCCGATTTGAATAATTATTTTTGTGTCGGATAGTGCATTTATCGAGGAAGGCTATGAGCTAAAAACATCACGCTGCGATCAATAGGAGCTGAGCAGGAAGTGTAACCGCGCGGGAACAACTAGTCTGTCCATATATTGAACCTTGTACTGTACAATAGTCACACCCGAGTGTGACTAAAGGTACAGTAAAAGTTGTTATAATTTAATTTATTGAACGTCACAAAAATACTAAAGTCCAATTTGAAAAAGAAATAATACATACAACTAATTACTGATAAGACCACCTTGCTAAGTAATAATTGATTTTCCGTACAGGTTGGCTCCTCGATTATTTTTAGAATTATTTATTTATGGCTGGAAATATTTAAAACGGTATACGTACTTATTCTTGTATTATATTCAATCTATCTTGTTGCCGAAATTCAACAAAAATTGATCAGCAGTTTAGATGTGAAAAGATAATAAATAAAATAGATAAAGACACCTGCCATCACGTCATGTATTTTATCAAAGGACAAAAGTACACATATCAAATCAAATCAAATCAAATATCTTTATTGCTGAACACAGTACATTTAGATGCATTCAGTTCATCATGTTCCACCATACAGGTCGTATAGGACATACAGGTCGTATTTCACAGAAATGTTAATTAGCAGAATTAAAGTCATTAATTAATAATTAAATTATGTAGGTTGTATGTTTATACAAATGTTATTCACGGTGCATATGAATTACATTATTATCTAGGAAACAAACAATGACAATATACGTATAGTTGTTTAATTAATAAGTACTTTAGGTAATTAATTAATTATTATTATATTATAGGTGCAACAGACATACAGAATTCGCATTTCAGTCTCGCTACCTCATTGGTAGAGTGATATCAAGTTGTTACTGCAACTACCGAGGAAGAGGGTGACTAGTTCAATTCTTGGATCAGTAGCACGGAATCAGCAGGGCTGCCTGATAGCATTAACCTTGCCCGCCCCCAATTACATGGCATGGCACTGATGAAAACTCAGTGATGCGTTTAATATGGACAGTTCTGCCTTTTTTATGTTTGATCGGTCGACGTCTGCCCACTATCTCGCCTGTGGTAAGCGATGATGCTGTCTACGATGGAGCACGTCGACCCATAAGCAACCTATTCACTCGGGCCTTGAAGACACCCGGTTATACCCTTCAAGAAAGAGACTGGCAAAGAATTCCACTCCTTAGCAGTACGCGCAAGGAAGCCTGATGCAAACCGCTTCGTCCGTGTAGGTGGGACATCTACCATGAATCGGTGACGCTTCACCGATTGTCTTGTGGTACGATGATGGAAAGGACTAGGCAGAATCAAGTTGTGTAATTCCCCCGCACACTCACAGAAATGCATCCGGTACAAAACCGAAACGCTTGCAACCTTACCTGTGTTCGAGGCTTTGAAGCCTGTTGGCACGCCTCTTGCTGTGCTCTAACGCGTCCAGTTGATATTTAGCCGAGCCGCCCCAAAGTTGAGATCAGTACTCCATACAGGACCGAACCTGTGCTTGGTACAGGTTCAGTAATTATTTCGGCGTGAAGTACCGTCTCACGCTCCATAGGATACCCAACTTCCTAACAGCCAGTTGCGCTTTCGACTTTATATAGAAGCCAAAGTTGAGTGTGCACGTCAGAGTTACGCCAAGATTCTTGGCGTAACTCTGACGTGCACACTCAACTTTGGCCCAAGAAGCTCAAGATGATCGGTTATCGGTACGAGTACATTCCGGAAATTGACTCTGTTTGGCGGAGAATAGACACCCCTGGATTTGGCTAGCGTTGAACTTGACCAAGTTGGCTTCACCCCAGTCGGAGACCGCCTTCAAGGACGAGTTCAAACGTTCGACTATGGATTCTCTTAGAGACCGGATCTGTGTTCCGCTGGTCCGCACATCGGACAAGTACCTTTCCTTTTCCTGCCTACCCCTTTTGTAGAAAGACGCGCGTGGTAGTATTAGTATGTTGATTATAGTAACTACAGTTAGACTGTTATTGAAGGATTACGTGGTACTCGTCTACGTAATGTGCCCGCCACCGTGAAATGAGACGCGCGCCTGTGTGTGTAGCCGGCACGCACACATACACGATAACTACGGTCATCTGTTTGATTCATAATCATAACGGACACTAGCGGCTAGCCAGCACTAGCACTACTACCGGCACTAGTAGATGTCAGAACTAGTTATATACAGCTCTATAGAAGATGAGTAGTTACTTGAGCAAGTATGGTACTACTCATCACCGTCAGTCGTCACCAGGGCCGTCTCAGGGACTTCGCTGGGGCGCTGGGGCACACAATAAATTCGCAGACCCTTTGGAAAGTATTTTGTTTTTTTTGACGTTACCTCACACTTGTTTTTTTAAGGGGGGAAATCATCGAATGGTTCCTCCCGCCTGGGTGAGGCAGGAGGGAGTGTCAGACTCTTACTTACTTCTTACTGACTAAAAACGAATCCGTTCCTACTCCTGCACTTCGAGCCCCGGTAACCCGTTAGGTTCTCCGCGTATCGGCATCAGCCGTATTGGGCCCGTTGGTCGGTGCGTGGTCCGCGACGCGCCGTACGCTCGGGTCTGGTTCTGGTGGGGCGACGAGCCACCCATGCTCGCCGTCCGCAGGCTCGCGCTTACGGTGGCCGGAGATCATCCCGTGATCCCCGACGCCCGGAGTGTCCTTCGCGATCGTGACGGCTGGGTTGTGAGGACGAAGATTTGAATTTTAGGTGTGGGAGAGCCATGCTTCGGCACGAATGGGCCGGCTCGATCGGAGTGATTACCACGGCCTCACAGAAAACCGTCGTCAAACAACGCTTCCGTTGTGTTTCGTCGTGTGAGTGAGTTTACCGGAGGCCTAACTATCCCTCTCGTCCCCGATCCCTGAATCCCTGACGTTGGTCAAATTTCTAATTCCTAAAAGGCCGGTAACGCACTTGTAACGCTTCTGGTGTTCCAGGTGTCCATGGGCGACGCCGATTGCTTACTATAGTAAACGGATATTATAGACGGGGACTATAGCAGACGGATCACCTATAGGTGATCCGTCTGCTACTGCTACTGCTGCTGCTGCTCGTTTACCAGCTTATACCATAAAAAAACCGTCGCCTATGGTGAACTGAAACATACACGATGAGTAGTCATAATGTCCCAGCGACGCATCAGTCATTAACCACTCGTCTTGGTAATGTTGAATATATCCGAGTGCGACCTACATACTGTGGTGGCATATTGTAATAAATAATGAGCAGCGCAGTATGTACCCGTGCCACACAATTATATTCTCACGCCGTCTCAATTTCCATACAATACAAACTGATGGAATATACATAATATGAACAATTTCCCGCGAAATTATTGGAAAAGTTTTGAAATATGACGTTATGCTTTCTATGATAGTTTTAGTGTCAACAACCGCGTCACGTAGACTTCAATACTCATTACCTCTGGAGGTCTTCTCAACTAGTTTTCGTATTTTTGGGGATCGTCAATAAACCTAATAAGTAATTAGTTCAGTTTGTTAGAGGTTAACTGTCCTTCACTACCCTATAATGGTAGTACCGTATTCGTATATATTGTAATACGAGAATAGGGTAGTTGCCTAATATTTTTTTAATGTCCGTCTGGTAGTTTACTTTAAAACATTAGACATGTATTTTTTCTTTTCTCACAAAATTCAATACTATCGACGATAGAGATGTGAGTGTGAGTGAGGGTAATTAGATTTTTATTTTTCATTCCCTGGCGACTACCCTATCGGACCCTCGCTCCAACCACTGCGTCACCTATCGGTGATCGTATCGTGACCACTTCTGAATGTCTTTACTTATGCAATAGTTATAAATGTACAGTTAAGCACCGGTCGCAGGTACAGTCGGCCTTGTTTGTCCCTGTAGTTATCAACCAGTGTTACTATCGAGCGGTACTTTACGACGTTGTTCTGTGGTGATAAAACGGTCATAACTAATCACACCTAATCATTTCTCCGGTCTGTTAAATTATTTTATGTAATGCCTACAACTACATACATTACTAAATTTGCACGGTGGTGTTTTAAATGCCCAAGTAGCCAGCAAGGGGTACCGTTCTGTTGGGTCAACATGACACATGGACTCCTGAGGGAAAGGAGGTCGTCATTCTACTGTTTACGATGATTTATTTTTACGTACCGCACCGTACGATCTGTCTGTGTGATTAATAGCCATACGTACTTGTTAATTACTCATACCTCTGGTCCAATCTTGTTTAAAAGGCGGCAACGCGCTTATGACTTCTATCGTGTTGCGGGTGTCCATAGGCGGCGCTGATCGCTTACTATTATGTGATTCGTCTGCTCGTTTGCCCCCTATACCGGAAAACTTAACGGGTTACCGGGGCTACGGCTCGAAGTGTAGGAGAAGGAACGGGGTGGTTTTTAGTCAGTAAGAGTTTGACACTCCCTTCCGCCTCACCCAGGCGGGAGGAATACATTCGATGATTTTCCCCACTTGAAAAAAAATACTGTAACAAATATGACCGTAAAACTACTGGCATCTCTGATAGTGTAGTCAGCTCAGCATCGCCGCCACATGTCCGTTCATCGGGACTTACATACAATCCGGCTGCCGGGCAGTCGGTGTCGTGTATCCAGCATGCCAGCTGTATACGTGTGACGGTTGCCCGGGACGGCGATAACAGGAACGTGTGAAAAGGTCTTACTTCACGCTTCACGGTTCACTTGCATCCTGGTACTTGGCAGTGACCTGTTAGTGCAGTAACTATCGACTTCAATTGCATAAATAAATACATTGTAGGTAACTGGAGTAGGCAGTGTACATTTGATAGAAAGCCTTGTGGTTGAGTTGTCGCAAACACAACCATTGGGCAAGTCGGTCACAGGTTCACACATTTAATGTGCTGTGCATTTTTTTTTGACAGCGGCGAATCTTCAAATGACTCTTCCCCCACCGTGGATGAGGCGAGAGGGAGTGTCAGACCCTGACTAATCACCCCCGACCCCGTTCTTAGTTATACCACAGGTTATACGTAGCGACTTCACCCGATGCTCTGCAGAAATACTTTTTTCTTTTTTAAACCACACTAGGTTTTGTCGCCCCACACCCCACAGGATTTTTTTCCTGTGTCGTGTGTGCGTTTACAAACATACAAGTTCACATACACATGACACACAGACTCGGAACAACAATCTGTGGATCACACAGAGTTGTTCCGTGCGGGAACGAACCCACGTCACGTTGCGCGGCAGTCGGTTGCCCAGCCACCGCACCAACTATGCAGCAGTGGAACAGTGCAGTGCCAATATGTCGCCAATATACGCCACAGATATATTATTTAATATTAGCTTTTACCCGCGGCTTCGCACGCATCACAAAATAAAAAAAGCCTATGTGACATATGCTAATACACACAGCGCCATCTATACCAATAATTTCGTTTTCCCTCGAGAACACCATATTTTTCCGGGATAAAAAGTACCTTATTATTTAATCCAGACTTCTAACTTTACGTCTGCAAAAATTCAAAGCAATCGGTTCAGTAGTTACGCCGTTAAAGCGGAACAAACAAACAAACTCACTTTCCCATTTATAATAGTAAGGATTTCTGTGGTACCTACACCGTATACCTGTGCTTGCCTCTCCGGGGAGTACCTAGATTCATGTATAAAACTTTTTCTTGACTTCAGACTTCCGCAACCCAGCGTGCAAGCGCGTGATATACGATGCTGAACTACCATCAGCCTCCGTGATCCTGATATTCCACAATGAACCTTATTCCGTGGTAGTAAGGACGATATGGAGCGTATTGAACAGCGCGCGTCGGAGCCAGCCGTGGTACAAGCACGCCAACTTCGTCGACCGACAGACCGGGAGAGTCACTACTGCAGGTGAGCTTATACTTTATTGCAGAGCGATTAGAGCTCAATTTTGCTTAACGGAGTGAAACCACGACCTTAATGACAACCGGTGTGAACCAACGCTTTTGTTGTGTATTACCGTCTGAGTCAGGATATGGGAGGCCCAATCCTCCCCCACCCCATGGGCTGACAATGCACTTGTATTGTCTCTGATGTTCCGGGTATCGAGCTAGCAATCGCTGCCGCAAACCACGCAACCGTTGTTTCACGCCAGTTTTCTATGAGGCTGTGGCATCAATCCGTAACTGAACCTTTTTAATTCCTTATCATCAGGCGATTTGCGGATGTTTTGCAGCCTTATCCCATTAATTTCGATTAATCGGTCTATTTATCAGGGTACCCGGGCCAGGATCCGAACTCCAAGTTCGTGTACCTTAAGGAGATAATCCTGGTGGATGACAACTCGACGCTGCCGGAGCTGAAGGGCAAGCTGAGCCACTACGTGCGCACCCGGCTGCCGCCCGACCTCATCCGGATACTCCGGCTACCGGACCGGTAAGCATATGTCACCACCAGAGATACTAATTAACTGCGATCTCCAACTGGTTAGCCAAGCGTGGAGATTATGGCAAACCTCTTTCATAGAGAGGCCTTCCATACTCTATAGTGTAGCTGTGGACTGCCATTGGCCGGTGATGGTGACGTCAATGGGGCCTACCGTAACTTTACTCACTAGATGGCGCTAGTGTGCGCCTCTAGTTCATCATCCAATAAAAGGAATTAACTAATGTCACACCATTGGACATTCGATATTTGACAGCTGCTGTGATTGGACAACAAATCCTTTCCTAACCCCATAAAAACAATTGCTAAGTCTCTGTCCAGCTCCACAGCTGGTCCACTGCTGTGGACGTATTTCGGCTGATGATGATATTCCCCTGTTCTACATTAAAAGAGATTCTGTCCTCTCACTCTGAGTTAGATTCGGTGTTGCGTCTCAGAGTACCAGATAAGAAATTGTGCTCATCTCTTACCTTTTTTATGTTGATGAGTAAGAGTGGTATTTTTGTGTAAAATGTATTTTTCATTTTTTATGGGATAAGCCACAAATATGTGTTATTTTTTACAAGTTATACAGGCTGTTGTGTAAGTTACATGAGATAATACACGATGGTATCAATGACAAATTTTATACATATAAGATGTTCAAAATAATTGGAGCAACAAATCAAACAAGTATTGTTTGACTGTTTGAGTGCACGTGCGACGATATCCTAGCACGTGTGTACAATACTTCATTGAATGACAATCACATAATGCCCTACACTGGATTACCTCATTCGATTGTTTATCCACGCGGCCGAGTACTCGACGATGTGATGAATTCGATCATTGAAAGTGAATTGTGACATCTCACTAAACATTCGCTGGCGGTTCATTGATTGATTTCTCACCAGCGATCTTATTCTAATTATAGGAAAGCCAATAACAACATCAGCAGATGTAATAAATTTATTGGCTGTAGAAATAGCCTCTTTGTTTTAAATAGGCTCATGATCGGGACGGTAAGCAATCGGCGCCACCCATGGACACCCGGAACACTAGAAGTCTGTTGCCGGCCTTTTTGGGGGTTAGGAATTCTAGGATAGTTGGGGACTTGAAGATTGGAGAGGAGGGTAGTGGGGCCTCCGGTAACCTCACTGAGACGACAAAACACAACGCAAGCGTCATTTCACGTCGGTTTTCTCCTCGGCCGTGGTATTACTCCGGTAGAGCCAACCAATTCGTGCCAAGCATGGCTCTCCCACAATTAGTGACAACACACTCTTGCTCCAACAGTATGTAATACTAATGTAACTAGTGATGAAAGAGTGCTGCTGTACCTAGGTACCTCAATGATTCCCTCGTTGGATTGGACGCGTTACGCAAACCATAGAATAAATAGTAAAGAGATCTAACCACTGACAGCCGAAACTAATAACCTCTCTCAATACAAAATCTGTAGATTAAGTAATCTGTACTCGGTCGTTAGACGTTGAGGAACTAATGCAGGAGACACGATGTAATCTCCACTCCGCACTAGTTGTCATAGTTCGGTGCGAATGAGACAAACTATAGACGGATGACAGCATCACCAGAAGGGTTGATCCTCTATAGCACACGTTCCACGTCACGAGGTGACCAAGGTCCCAGGAGTGGTGGTTTCACTAAGACGTCGTACAACACCCAGGGTAGGTTTGACCCAGGCCAGGATGGCGGGCAGCCGCGCGGCCCTGGGCGACGTGCTCGTGTTCCTGGACTCCCACTGCGAGGCCGTGCAGGACTGGCTCCGACCGTTACTCCACCGCATCAAGGACGACTACCACCACGTTGTCACGCCACTCATTGACGTCATTGAGAAGTCGGACCTCGTCTATGAGCCCGGAGACCGGACAGAGTTCGAGGTGATCATTCACCGAGCGGGTGTAGTGCTCAGTCGGACACTGTACACACTGGGGGACTCCGCAACTATACTTGTACGTCGATGTTTTGGACAGTAATAGTCATCAAATTGATTGTGGATCTTTTACAATCTGTGGTCGTATTGCAACATGTTTTTAGATTAGCTTTAATGGCTGACAGTTCCAGTCTCCCAGTAGTTGGTACGAACAGCAGAAACATCGATACAATAAATAGTCCGCAAGTGACGAGCTGAACATTGTTAGCCGAATATTAGCATAAAATTACAGAGTATGGCGCACAGAGTCCTAACAGTGTGTACACGTGTGTCGGCCGCGCACTCCGACGACAACTCCAGTGTCGTTGTGTCTAACGTCATCAACTTCCATCGGTAGTTAGACTCACAGTAACCAAGTGACTCACAGTAACGAGGACACAGTGTATAAACAGTGTCGGTAGCGATATTATTGGGGGTAGTGTAGTGAGAGCTCAGTGTGAACTGCATTATTGCCACGTAGTGTCAACGTGTGCACTCTGGTCGCACGATACTCCGTGACATTTTGTTCTAATTCTTCCGTAATTGTTTGAGGCCTTCACTCTTTGTCATTCATTAATATTAAATTTTAATCTAAACGAGTCAGTAAGGGTTGTAGACTTATAGTCTATTAACATCATCATCCACTGACTACGCTCGTCCTGACATTGAAGGACGCAGACAGACAGAAACACATCAGTTTCAAGATATACATAACAACATATACTTCTCAATATTAATATTTATTATTAAATGATTTTATAACGGAAAATAGTAAAGTGAATAATGCAATGTACTGTAATGAAAGCGGGCCCAGGTGAAACAGTAGCAGCAATATAGCGCAAGTTACGAACGTGTCTATTATAAACAAAATGTTATCTCGATTGATCTTTATTAGTTGTAATTGTTTGGCAACCGCCCTTCTTGACGATACTATAAGGTCAAATCATTTGTTCGTTCACGATCATAAGTTCATACAAACCTTGTAAGTATAATAATTATTTCCATCCACATTCAACCGTGGAAATATGTGCCGAATGACTGTAATGTTTTAATTTCTTATTATTTCTAGCGTTGCATTATAGTTGAGAACATGCGCATTAGTTATGCGTTGGTCCTAAAATAGTCCCCTGTGGAACCCAGTCTTAGTCGAATCATTTAGAATGTTATCAACAACATCACGGGAATGTATGTTGATATAAACCTGTGTCTTAGCTATGAAGCTATCGTTCGTAGGACAGGATTGATCCGGGCTCGGCTGGCGGGGTCCCGGGTGGCCACGGGCGATGTGTTGGTGTTCCTGGACTCCCACACGGAGGCCGTCACGGACTGGCTGCGGCCGCTCCTACAGCGCGTCCACGACAACCGCAGCGCAGTGGTGTGCCCGCCATTGACGTTATCTCATCGAACGATTTCCTATTCGCCGAGAGCCTAGAGAGCGACGAGGTAGACCTGGGTGCCACTGAACTATTCCTTATGTCTCTAGGAATAAAGCTCAATATACCACGGGAAATTGTTCCCGTTGTGCTCATTCCACTGAAATGTTGCATTTGTTATACTAAACACTGGTTGGCACTGTCGCTGTAGGTATGTGTTTGTATGTAGACGTCAGCTGCAAACATTGTGCGCTCTACAAATCACATTGTTACAAGATGTATGAACGTGCCGCCGTGGCGCGGCGTCAGTGGCAATGTTGACGTGTGTGTGGTCGCAGCGTGGGGCTGACGCGCGCGCGACTGGCGGGCGCGCGGTACGCGGCGGGCGACGTGCTCGTGTTCCTGGACTCCCACTGCGAGCCGCAGCCCGACTGGATGCGGCCGCTGCTGCAGGCCATCAGCGACGACCCGCACACCGTCGTCGTCCCCATCATTGACGTCATCCAGTCCAACAACTTCTTCTACAGCGTGATCGACACCAAAACATTCCAGGTTACTGCTGGGACTAGTGGCAGATATTGCATCGCCCAGTGCTTGCTCTCTTAGCGCTCATTACTAGATGCCTTCACTGTAGCGCTAGTTCCGAGTCACGCTCGATTGAACCATGTAACAGTAGTTGTAATGAATTGATCACGCCACGCCATCGTAGTAGCCGTTGCGAGTAAACACATTTCACCTCACGGCTGGGATTCACTTATAGAAAATGATAAAACAAATTACTCGTAATTATTACTTTTGATTTCTGCTCGAGGCTTTTGTGAACACTTCAGACATAATGACGAGTTATAGTACTGGCCGCAATCTCCTGTCTGCCAATATCTGCCACGCTCCCCCCCCCCCTCCCCTGTGTGTCTCCGTGCTTGCACTGCACCGCTCGCTGTATCTCATTCAATACTTGCCTCATGGCGTTGCTGTCTTAAATCAAGGGGCTTTTGGCTCAGTTACCCTGTATCAACTTTTGAGTGGGATCTTCCTTGATTGGTTTTGTCCTGATTAGTTCTTTATAAAAATAAGAGTGTGGTGACCATTGTTACTAGACCTGCGATGAGTATCGAGTCAGCGGACGTGCATTAGTGCGAGCTGTCCTGGCGGTTGTTGTTCTGTCGCTGTGTTGTGGTTGTGCACCGTGTGTCGTGTGTCGTGTGTCGTGTGTCCGTCACTCAGCCGCGCGCTTGTTTGCATTTTATTCAGATTTGTACTACCGTTTGATTTCCTGCGATCTGTTAAAACGGAGATGTTTGCTTCCCACTTTCTTTTAGTTTCCCTTTCTTTAATTCCGGGACGATCTTTTACTTGTTATTTCTATCTGCCTGTTTACTTGCGGTGCTGCTCTATCTACCGACATTACCACATCTCCCTGAACCCTTACATCTTCCGCAGCTACTGTCCTGTGTCGAGGGGGTCCGTGTGTGTATGTGTGTGTACATACACTGTGTGTGCGTGTGTGTCACTGTGTTGGGTTCTCTATCCGGGTCTCTGTCTGTTTGGTTTCGTTTTATAATTATGTGTAGTATGTAAGAACACCAAAATGTATGAGGTAGTGCCTGCATTAAAAGCAAATATATATTTATTGTTAAGTAGCGTCGTTAAAGTAGGCGTAGAAAGTGATAGTGAAACAGTTAACTTAAATCCGACTGGATTACAAATGTAGCATTCCTGTGTGTTCATTCAGTAATGAATAGTAGATGTGAACCGTGGTACTGTAGGATTACTATATGGCTATGCAGGTCACAGGCAACCGCTGGATACAGGTCGCTTCAGGAAGTCATTAGGAGAATTATATGAGGCAGTGGACGTCCTGTAGCTGATATGATGATGATGTAGATGTGATGGTGCCGCAGCCAGGGTCTGATACTGGCGCGGCTGAAGGGAGCCCGCGCGGCGCGGGGCGACGTGCTCGTGTTCCTGGACGCGCACTGCGAGGCCGGCGCCGACTGGCTCGACCTCTGCTGCAGCGGATCCAACACAAGAAGGACTCCGTGCTCACGCCCATCATCGACGTCATACACCAAACCACCTTCGAGTTCGAAGCTACTGACACCTTCCAGGTCTACAATCAGCTTCTAAATGCCAAGAACTAACGACGAAGTGCAGAGCCGTATTATGCCTGAGCAAACTAGACAAATGCCGGGCGCCAGGCGCATCCAACTGCCCATAGAGTAGTGGCGGCGCCAGAATAATTTAGAGGCGCCAATGGGGTGCTTGCTAGGGCGCTCGCCAGGTGTAATTCGCTTCTGAAGTGCTTAATTATTATTAACACGGAATGCCAAGGACAACTAACATTTAATGAACAATGAAGTTTAAATAGAAAGTGCTTGATATTAACATTATGTTGTAAAGCTGTAGTCCTCGGTGATGGTGTAATAATCCTATTAATTGTTTATGTGTATGTTTGTTACTTAATCTCATCGAAACGGCTGAAGAGATAGGGATGAAATTTGAACAGGGTTAGATTAGGGGGAACGCGGACGAAACCGCTGGCAGTAGCTATAATAGCGATGTAAAATGAAAGTAATGTTCATGGTTGTATTCGGAATATAGGAATATTGTTTTATGCAAACGTGAAAAATAGTGTTTTTGCAACCAATTAAAAGATAATACAATCTCTAATTTGATAATAAGTAATTAAACTTATCGCTACGTTTTATGTGTTAAGTATGAATAAATTCAATGTACATGTTTATAATTCTACTATACTACCTACAAACACACAAATCTACACGAAACAAATATACATTTTACTCATGTTTACTATTCGAGAGTGCCCGACTAATTTCGAGTAAGCCCGGACTCATAATCATGTGTTACGTTCTCGGTTGATGTAGTTGTAAATATGTATTATTAGATAGTTATTTTTATTATACCTAGTTAGAGTAATAAATAATGTATGTTCATGTAGCTTATTGTGTTGGATGTAGACGTAGTCGGGTGGCAGTAGTGTAGCACTAACTATGCTTGTCTCACTCGCACAGCGTGCTAACTTCATGTCTTTTACAAACTAAAGTTTCTCTAAAGTAAATTTTAAGTTAATTTCCAATGACAACGATGCACATTCTAAAGAAATTATTGAATATTTCATTTTAAAATTAATGAAATGTGCAATAATTTGTCATTTTCTACCGCTACATCATTCCAGTGTATGCAGGCGTAACTGAAGGCAACTGCTTAGATTCCATGTTCATTTCAAACATTACTGCTTATTCCAACTTGTACAATTATATCTGCATAGCTAATGAGAAATATCGCTTTAGTTACGTCTGCTATCCGCTAGAGCGCTAGCGTCGTTCAATATCTCTCTGAAGTTAGCGACAGGCTTTGCTTTCTCTGTCACTTTGCGTACTCGCTGCTAAGTTCAGAGCGCATGTAATATGTTGTTGTGTGTGTAGGTGGGCGGGTTCTCGTTCATGGGCCACTTCACGTGGACCGACGTGCCCGACCGGGAGAAGAAGCGACGCGGCTCCGACATAGCGCCCACCTGGTCAGTATCACTATACTACTTATACATTACCAAAGGGCCTAATGTGAGGCTCTTTCTGCATTAACTTGGAGCAGCAGGGATGTTTTTTAAATGTATTTTGGAGTTTGTTGCTTGTCCTTTCTACACATTGAACGAGCAAGACTACCTCGTTGGCCGAGTATTCGCAAGTGCGACTGCCGATTCCGGTTCGATTCCCGGGTCGGGCAAAGTATTACTGGGTTTTTAAAAAAAATCTTAGTACTAGTGCTACTACGGACGGAGTCTGAAATTGTGCCCGGTATATGGCAATAGGCTCACGCCCTATTACACGGGACTCATAACATATGGGTGCGTTACGTTGTGCAGTGGCATTAAATGCCGTAATGTGTACCTCTAATGTCTGCCCCTTCGGGGATAAAAGGCGTGATGTTATGTTATGAAAAAATAGCAAATAGAGCGACGAGAGGACTAATCGGTAGACTGACACATTTACTTGTTTGACGTTCAAGTATCGCCCTGGTCTAATTGGAATAAATGATTGACTGTTGTCTATGTGTAGGTCTCCGACGATGGCGGGCGGTCTGTTCGCGATCAGTCGCACGTACTTCTGGGAGCTCGGCGCGTACGACGAGCAGATGGGGGGCTGGGGGGGAGAGAACCTCGAGATGTCATTCCGGATCTGGCAGTGTTAGTCAACACACATACTATCATTATTCAATATCACCATGTTTTATTTCTTTAGTTGTTTGTCATCGACTCACTGACGGTCTTTGGTCACAATCACAGTAGACCTGGGGGCTTACTCTTGAATCCAATTCCGATCGATCGACATTGACATTGTGTTTTGTACTCTTGATTTGCAGCATTAGCGCCTATTGCATCCGTATTGTGTGGAAATTTTATGAACTAATTGGTATTTGATTTGGTTTGTTTGGTTTTATATTCCGTACTCTGAATGCTACTTTAACAGCTACGATTGTGGTTGTATAGAGTTGACATTGAATAATAATTGAGATTTTATTGGACTGAAATTGCATTGACATTGAGATTGGTTTCAAGAGTAAGCACCCTAGTGATAGTCTGTGACAGTCGCCTGTATGCAGGGCGCTTCCAACCTGGCGATGTGGAATCATTGGGGGAGGACTGGATAGTATGTGGCTGTACGCGTCATGATGAAGAATTGTTTCTATTTTTTTTTATGGCATGAGCCGGTAAACTAGCAGACGGATCACCTGATGGTAAGCAATCGGCGTCGCCCATGGACACCCGCAACACAAGAGGCGTTACAAGTGCTTTACCAGCTTTTTGGGGATTAGGATTTCGAGGATCGTTGGGGATTCAGGGATTGGGGAGATTGGGAAAGGGAAGGGTAATTGGGCCTCCGGTAACCTCACTCACACAACGAAACACAACGCAAGCGTTGCTTCACGTCGGTTTTCTGCTCGGCCGTGGTATCACTCATGCCATTCTATGCCTGTTTCCGGACATGTTAGATGACGTCCCATTGTACAGTCGCTACGTTTGGCTCATGACCTGCTTAGACGATGTTCCAATGTTCCAGGCGGCGGCACGCTGGAGACGATCCCTTGTTCCCGCGTGGGCCACGTGTTCCGCAGCTTCCACCCGTACGGGATGCCCGCACACATGGACACGCACGGTGACTACTGCACACATACATTACACACGCCAACACAGACCGACGCGGTTCATTCACATACTAGCATTCACGCGCGGCTTCCCTCGCGTCACAAAAGGATAAAAAGTAACCTATGTGACATATACCAATACACACAGCGCCATCTATACCAATACTTTTGTTTTCCCTCAGGAATATCAAATTTTTCCGGGAAAAATTTTTAATCTAGACTTCTAATTTTACGTCGCGCAAAAATTCAAAGCAATCAGTTTAGTAGTTACGGCGTCAAAGCGGAACAAACAAACAAACTCACTTTCCGATTTATAATATTAATAAAGATTCCGCACATGTTTTCCTCTAAATGGGGAAAATAGCAGATTTCGTGGCATCTTCGCCCAAAATGTCTGCACGGTTGGCGCGGTGGTTGGGCAACTGGCTGCTGTGTAACGTGTAGCGGGTTCGATTCCCGTACAGAGCAACTCTTTGTGTGATGCATAAATTGTTTCGGGTCTGGGTGTGATGTGCATGGAAAATGAAATGTTTGTAAACGCACCCACGACACAGAGAACATCTTTGTTTAAAAAAAATGAGAAGTAAAAGTTTAATTTGTCCTTGAAATATTTTTTATGTTATCGCTTCATCACAAAATCATTTTTATTTCATTGACATACCACAAGTAATCAGCTCACCCGAGGCGAGAGAACACATTGGATGATTTCCCCCTTAAAAATAATAGTATCATAAATATAGTTTGACAGAACTATGGGATTGAACCACCGACATGCTAGCAACATGTATAGTGACGCCCCCTGTCGTGTTGCAGGCATCAACACGGCGCGCATGGCGGAGGTGTGGATGGACGAGTACGCCGAGCTGTTCTACCTGCACCGCCCCGACCTGCGGGTGAGTTACACCCACTAGCTATTTACACAAACACGGTGACTCCAGTCTCCAAACATTTGTTCCTTAACAGTCCATGCAGACACCCCCAAGCAACTTGATTTACTTCAAACGCATGTAGTGCTTTATTTTGACGTTAGTACTGTTGGAAACTACTAGATGGCTCTGTATTAACATTACAATCCTCTTAAGTAAAGATTATCTGTGCCAATTTAATAACTCAAACATTTATTATTTCTATTTTCTTGATATAGTATTAATTCGAGCAAGTAATTGTTTATACAATAAATTATAATTATATATTTATATAATTATATAATCTGCGCTTATATGTATAATTTTAAAATCACAGATGGCTTAAAGGAGCCCTTATTTTTGTTTAAATTAAACTTACGTCTTATACTATTATACAAAGCTGAATAGTTTACTTGCTTGTTTGTTTGTTTGTTTGAACGCTCTTATCTCAGGAAGTACTGGTCCAATTTGAAAAAAATTTTTGTTTTGGATAGTCCATTTTCGAGGAAGGGTATAGGGTATAAAACATCATGCTACGATCAATAGGCGCCGAGCAGAGCTGCTGTAGCTGTTGGCTTATTAGGCTACTCAGTTTAGAAGATTCGGGTGCATCTTAATCTCCCAAAACCGCTGCAACTCCTGTAAGTCAGGATCTACAGTAGATACAACCATGAAAACACCGGAACACTGAAGTCCGGCTAGTCCCAGGGACATGAGTAACTGTCTTGGTTCCCGCAACGAAGTGAATCAGAAGATATTATAAGAGAAGAAGAAAAAACTATGGTTTCCACTTCCCCTCGGTGAATTACTGCAGGAGACAGAATGAATTAAGCCTGAAGGCACAAAGAAGAGACTGTACAACTGGGTGAAGCCCAGTCGCCAAGCACCACGGAAATTTGACTAAAAACTAAGTGGGTCCTATGTGTGAGCTGTTATACTTGCTTCCAATAGTAGGTATGGCAAAACGCCTAAACGCACGGAAATTCGTTCTAGATTCCACAAGGTCCGTATAATAAGCTACACCTGACGAAACAATTAAATTATTTATTTATTTATTTATTTATTTATTTATTCATGAACAATTATTACATTGTGTTTGAATTTGTACAATACACCTATATTCTAAAAATTATACATGCAATAATTAGCCGTTACAATTAATAAAGTTAAATGTCATTCCCTGTACTTGTCAATTCATAATTAATTATAACAAGATAAAACAATAATACACAAAATATAATAAAATATAGTCATGTCATCCATAAAATACCAAAAAAAAAAACACACAACAACAATTCCAATAAATTAAGTTATAATTCGTCAACATGATAAAGACACTTATTTAACAAGAACTGTCTAAGCTTATTCCGAAACTCGCCTTTATAAATAAGACCTTTTATTTCCGTTGGCAGTTTATTAAACAGCTTTAACGACTTGTGGTAGGAACTATGCTTTGCAACGTTTAGGTGAGTCACTTGCTTCAACTGAAGATCTTTCCTTCTTGTGCTCTCCCTTCTTTGTCTTTCATCCTCAGTCTCATATTCAAAGATGTACCTAGACAAATGGGTAAGCAGGACCAAAATGTATAAACTTGGGACTGTCAGTATATTCAATTCATTGAAATGAGGCTTACATGATTCTTGCTGCTGTATTCCAACCATAGTCCTGACTGCCCTTTTTTGTATTACAAATGCTTTCTGTATATTGTAGTCATAGCTTCCACCCCAGAAAAGTATGCTGTATCTTAGCCTTGACTCCACCAATGCGTAATACACCATTTTTAAATATTTTATTGTCACATCGTTTCTGAGACTTCTAAGCACGTAACAGGCAGGGCTAATCACTTTCTCAAGGTATTTTAGCTCCTCCTTCCACCTCAACTGGCTATCAATATAAACTCCCAGAAACTTAACCACCTCTACCACGTTTACTTTTTCTCCATTAATGGCACAGTTAATGCTATCCTTATTTTTGGAAGTAGATCGAAACAGCATGACATTAGTTTTACTGGCATTAATTTTGAGACCGTTGACAGCAAACCAACTGTGGAAGATATCTAAGACTTGATTAACAATGCAATCAAGAGTGCGTATACTGTCAGCCGAAACAACAGCGTTAGTATCATCGGCAAACACCACAAGCTGTATAGATCCTGCAGCATTCTGCATCATATGTTGTATCAGGTCATCAACAAACATGATAAAGAATATCGGACCCAGTATGGAGCCCTGTGGTACGCCAGTGTGCACAGGTGCCAATTTAGATTTGTATGTTTCTTCAGTTAGACAGTTATTGCCTGAGGAATTTGTCCCTAACATCTCTGCTTTGATCTCTACGAACATCTTCCTGTTCTTTAAGTATGATGAAAGAAGAGCCAGCACCTTACCCCTGACACCGTAGTGTTCAAGTTTTTCTAGCAATAGTTTATGATCCACTGTATCAAATGCTGAACTTAAATCTAAGAAAAGCCCAGCTACTTTCTGTTTATTATCTAATCTACTCACTACGTCCTTAATCAGAGTCGATATTGCGTCTTGTGTCCCGACGTTTTTCTGATAACCAAATTGTTTTCTATTTATCACCCCATTTTGGTAGAAATGTTTAAGTAATCTAGACTTAATTAGCTTTTCAAAAATTTTTGAGTGAGTAGGTAGTAATGAGATTGGTCTGTACATCTTTGGATCCGCTTTAGAACCTTTTTTGTGTACAGGTATTATTTTGGCTATCTTCAGTTGATCTGGAAAAATTCCTTCATCAAAACATTTGTTGTAAAAAATGCTTAACGGTACCGCCAGTATATCTATATTATCCTTTATTACTGATTTTTATGTCATCATAGCCGCAAGATTTTTGTCGTCCATATTTTTCGTTATTTTAAATATCTCACGGGAGTGACAGGGTCAAAGATCAGGTCATTAGTTACTCTTTTTGCACTCCTATGCAGAATATCCATGGCAGCTCCTGTGCTTGCGGTGGCTGATGAATTAATTTGGAACTGTTGAGACAAGATATTTACAATATCTGATGGTTCTGACACGATTTTATTGTTGGATTTTAAGATAATTTTTTTATTGTTCTTTACATTCTTATTCCTATGCTTGTTTACCACTTTCCAAATATCCCTTGAAATGTTCGTCGACTTTGATAATTCATATTGTACTGATAACTTTTTGGCCATATTTATCACTTTTCTGTACAGAACTATGTATTTTTGTCGATAGTCCATCACAGTGTCACTTTGCCCATTCCCTTTGCCAGTACATAGAAATCGTTTCATCTTGCTTGAAACCTTCACACCCTTTGTGACCCAACGTAGTTGCGCTTTACGCGTTAAGCGCACCTGCATTTTTCTTTTCTTAAAACAGCGTGTAAACATTTCTTCGAATTGTTTCAAAAAAGAGTTTATTCCGAAATCACTCCAGTCATGATTTAGTAGCAAATTTCTAAAGTTATTTCTTGTATTTACACTGAAAATACGCTTGGTTATTTGAATATTACTAGTCTTTTTATTCCTACATAGTTCCTTAGTTCTGAAAGCTGTATTGCAAAGCAGTCCCGCATGTCCATCTGCCAATCCGTTATGATCGACATCACAACTTATCACACATTCATCTGACAAATTAGTAAAGACATTGTCAATACAAGATTGTGAGTCATTTCGAAAAAACGTGGTCAACTTAATTAAAGGTCTGAAGTTATAACATGTCAATAGATTTAATAAGTCATTCCTTTTTTTATTGTCAGTTAATAAGTCAATATTGAAATCACCACAGATAATACAGTTCTTGTTAAAGAAATGTTCTAATAATTTTTCAAGACTAACCATAAAATTGTCTAGGTTTTTATCATAAGGAGTACGATAACAGCAACACACAGACACGCCAGTCAAAATATCTTTAACACAGCATATTTCAAAACTATCCATTTTGTACAATTTTTTGCCTATGGGTAGCTCATCACATTCCCTATCCGATTCTACTAGGATTATAGTACCACCTCTTAGCTTATTTACTCTGGTATTATATGATGCAACATTATATTTTGTAAGATTTAGTAATTGAATTAATTCTGCGTTAAGAAAATGCTCACTAATACACAAATAATGTGAAGGGTTTCTCAAACTCTCTAAATACATTTCCAATTCATCTTTCTTATTATTTAGGCCACACATATTTTGATGAAAGATATTTAAACAATTGCACAGTGAATTTTCTGCTGATTCGTTTAGATTTACTATATTTTTAACGTGGTTATTTACGAAAAAATGTATTTCTATCCAACATTATCTTCTTTTTAAAGTAGTAAGGAATGGTACCAGGTTGTAACTGTATTTTAGTAATTTTTGTAGTTGTTTCAGTACAAGATCGTTCATTATTTACTATTGGCTGTTTTGGGAAAGTTGATGTGTGGTGTGTGTCTGTTTGCATAGATTTTTCATCGTTAACTGTGCCGTATATCTTTATATCGATTTTTATATTCTCCATGATATTGTTGTACAAAGTTTTTATACCTTTTGTATTAATCTGGCCGGTTTTACTTGTGAACATATCATAAGCTAAGTAACTGTTTGAGTCAAAGTAATATGCATAGCTGTTTTCTTTCTGTAAGTCTTGATATAAGAGATTATTGAATAGTTCAACCTTATAATTGTAAATGGGTGCACCACAAATGTAGGTGGGACTGCATATTATAATATTTGTGTTTGTTATGTGCTGCAAAGATTTCCTCATTACTTTTACAAATTCTATATAGTTAGACGATGTTTTTATGTCTGTATTTCCCAGCATAATAATACAATAGTCATTGATATATAATTAAGTAACTTATTGCTAATATTATTTAACAGGCGTTCTATGCTACCGTTGGTCAACAAATAACGACAGCACTCGAAATGATTGCCGAATATTTCTTCGATAGCTCTGATGGAGCAATTTCGATCACAATTGCTAAGGATACAGAGTTTATTTCTTTTTTGAACTATTGGATACACAGTATTTACATTGTTGTCACGAGGAATGATACTAGCAGAAGTGGCCGACAAAATAACATCACTTCGATTACCTAGAGAATCTTGCTGCAGGATGTGAATCTGTTTGTTTAGTGTGGCTATTTCTAACTTAGCTTCTGCCAATTGTTGTTCTGAATTTGAAATGGCCTGTTGCATTGATAATACAGTTTCATTATGTATTATCTCAGTTTGGTAGTCTTCTTTCCTTGTGTTAGGCGTTTTATTTATTAATTGTTCACAATTCGCATCTCCTTCCTTTTGATCAATAGTATTACACGTTTGTGTGATTTGCTCCATAATTTTAAAAGGCGTTAAATTTTTATTTGCGGTTTTTATCTTACGTTTACGTCCCGTAAGCGGTGTCATATTTATAATTTCTGTGGAATTGATTTTCTTATATGTGTCTATTATATTTCTACATTTCTGTAAGTCAGATTTCAGTTGCGTGTTCTCGGCATTCAGGTTATCTATCTCAGCATGAGCACTTTCAATGTTATTTGACATCTCCTCTAGTTTTTCGTGTAGTTCTAGGACAGTTTGACTTGCATTAATTGAGGAGTCTCGCAAGCTTAACATAGTTGTGTCAAATAACGTACAATTGTCTGCAGATATGTCATTTAGTGAGCTAGTTCTACGATATTTTCGAATAGTTATATTGTCATCCATTCTTTAGAAATGAAAAACAAAACAATATAATAATTATTTATAAACTATTTTTGAAGATGTTTCTAGTAGCGCCACCTGTTGTTACGGAGCGGCAACCACTTGCAGTTATTCCGCTTAGCTTAGTAGTACCGCTACTCGTCGCTAGATGGCGGTAGTCTCAAAAGGTATTAGTGTTTCTATCCTCCGCAGTTGCGCTAGTTTGTATGTCATCAATTCAAAATATTTTTCTTAACGGTTTCACTTATTCAGTAAATGTTCACTTAGCATTATTTTTAGAGAATTTATGTATAGGTAATGTGACTTTAGTGCATACCTTAGTTATTTGCTATTCGTAGTGTAAAGAGTAGGTTTTATATGGTTGTTACAATATTATTTCTTCACGTTATACGTCATAGATTTCGTCACTAATCTTGTACAGATTCGGTAGATAACATTTCAGCACAATATTTGCACAGTTATATCACTACTATATTGTTCAAACTCACATTTTATTAGATAAATTTATTTTAAATAATTATTATCACGAGCACAGTCACAATCCAGTGTTTACTTGAGCAGCGCCATCTGGCGGATGCATATTATTCGGATGCGGATGCGGATGTATATTCAACATAGTGTTACGTTCATATTGCCAGAGATCACACTCCCAGAGTATGTGATGGGCCGACTGCTCGTATTGCAACTCCACTGTCGAACAATGGCACCATGGTGAATCAATAAGTTTAAATGAGAACAATTTGCTTTTAAAGTTGCCGTGGCCAGTAAGAAATTGGGCAACACAGTGATCCACCTCCAACCATGTCCTCTCCAGCCGCTCATGCACGGATGGGAAGAACTGATATAGGTGGCGGCCCTTAATAGAAGATGCCCATCTACCCTGCCAGTCAGTTATAAGCTCATCCCAGACGTCCGTTATTGGCTTAAACAATCTAGCAATTTTATTTCTATCACGTTGTGCTAGAAAGCTTGCTGACAAATTAGGTCTCGCACTGTAGTACATAGCAGCACGTCGCTGCACCTCAAGATCTACCGGAAGTACGCCCGCGAGCACAGGTAGGGCTTCAGTGCTAACCGTCCTATAAGCCTTACACAGGAAAATCAAGGCTAGACGCTGGCCTTGAAGAAGTTTTCGCCGTACCGCGCCTATTGTGGCCCTATCAGCCCAGACAGATGCCCCGTAGCACACGCATCCCAGGTAGGTTGCTCCGTATATGATCCTGAGCGTAAGAAAAGAGAGACCCCAGGTGGCTTTTGAAATTCGCGTCAGCGCATAGAAGTTATTTTTGGCTTTCTCACTAATAGCCTTAATGTGCTCAATGAAAGAAAAGTTTTTTTCCAAAACTAGACCGAGATAGCAAACCGACTCCTTTCGTTTTACGGAAACGTTGTTAAATTTAATGGACGGCCACGACTTTAGATTTCCTTTAAGCAATAGCTGGTAAGTTTTATGGGGTGCAAAAGTCAAGCGATTTCGTTCGCCCCATCGCGAGATCCTACTGAGACAGTCCTTAGCCAAATTCTCCAGTCCGGCGCGGGTATTTGACTGTACTAGCAAAAGGCCATCATCCGCATATCCAGTCAAAGTACAGCCACAAGGAAGGGGAATCACGAGCAAATCATCAAATCCTAAATTCCATAAATACGGGCCAATAACCGAGCCCTGAGGACATCCCATTGATAAAGACTTCGACCGAGAACAATGACCAAGCTTCAGTTTAACGGAACCGTGAAGGAAATACGTGTATATTAATTTATATATGTTACTAAAACAACCTCGACCTTTTAGTTTTAAGAGTAACATTGGCCACCATGCGTTATCAAAGGCACCAGAAATGTCCAGAAAAATGCCTACTATATACCTGTGCTCAGACGAATTTACCATGGATCGGACAGAAAGAGCCGCGTCGACAGTAGACTTTCCTACAGTGAAACCAAATTGATTGTTGTGGAATTTTGGTCCACCTGGCAGTAAACGAGGAACGATAAGTCGCTCAAGTATCCCTATCACGCTTTTGCCATCTTTAGGGAAACCTAAAGATGGCAAAAGCGTGATAGGCCGGTATGACTTAGGGTCATCGGGGGGTTTATTTCCATTCTTGGGGATGTGGCAATAGGCTAATGTGTCCGGTATATGGCAATAGACTCACCCCCTAATACATTGGACGTATAACATAAATAGTGAAAAGTGGGTGTCCCATTGTACAGTGGCATTGAGTGCCGTAATGTGCACCCTGCCTACCCCTTCGGGGATATAAGGCGTGATGTTATGTACGTATTACACCCTAACAACTACTCTTCGCAGAACAACCCAAAAATCGGCGACGTGACCCATCGTAAAGTGCTCCGCGAGAAGTTGAAGTGCAAGAGTTTCCAATGGTACCTGGACAACATCTACAAGGAGAAGTTCGTGCCGGTGCGGGACGTGTACGGCTACGGCCGGTTCAAGAACGAGGCCACCAACATGTGCCTCGACACGCTGCAGCGCGAGGCCGACCACTTCCACCTCGGCGCCTACCCCTGCCACCCCGACCTGCAGGCCACGCAGTACTTCTCCTTCTCGCTCGCCGGCGAGCTCAGGGACGAGTTCAACTGCGCCATCGTCAAGACTACCAGGTAACTAGTGGCGCTATGTTCTGTCATACCACTCCCCCCTCGGCGCCTACCCCTGCCACCCCGACCTGCAGGCCACGCAGTACTTCTCCTTCTCGCTCGCCGGCGAGCTCAGGGACGAGTTCAACTGCGCCATCGTCAAGACTACCAGGTAACTAGTGGCGCTATGTTCTGTCATACCACTCCCCCCTCGGCGCCTACCCCTGCCACCCCGACCTGCAGGCCACGCAGTACTTCTCCTTCTCGCTCGCCGGCGAGCTCAGGGACGAGTTCAACTGCGCCATCGTCAAGACTACCAGGTAACTAGTGGCGCTATGTTCTGTCATACCACTCCCCCCTCGGCGCCTACCCCTGCCACCCCGACCTGCAGGCCACGCAGTACTTCTCCTTCTCGCTCGCCGGCGAGCTCAGGGACGAGTTCAACTGCGCCATCGTCAAGACTACCAGGTAACTAGTGGCGCTATGTTCTGTCATACCACTCCCCCCTCGGCGCCTACCCCTGCCACCCGACCTGCAGGCCACGCAGTACTTCTCCTTCTCGCTCGCCGGCGAGCTCAGGGACGAGTTCAACTGCGCCATCGTCAAGACTACCAGGTAACTAGTGGCGCTATGTTCTGTCATACCACTCCCCCCTCGGCGCCTACCCCTGCCACCCCGACCTGCAGGCCACGCAGTACTTCTCCTTCTCGCTCGCCGGCGAGCTCAGGGACGAGTTCAACTGCGCCATCGTCAAGACTACCAGGTAACTAGTGGCGCTATGTTCTGTCATACCACTCCCCCCTCGGCGCCTACCCCTGCCACCCGACCTGCAGGCCACGCAGTACTTCTCCTTCTCGCTCGCCGGCGAGCTCAGGGACGAGTTCAACTGCGCCATCGTCAAGACTACCAGGTAACTAGTGGCGCTATGTTCTGTCATACCACTCCCCCCTCGGCGCCTACCCCTGCCACCCCGACCTGCAGGCCACGCAGTACTTCTCCTTCTCGCTCGCCGGCGAGCTCAGGGACGAGTTCAACTGCGCCATCGTCAAGACTACCAGGTAACTAGTGGCGCTATGTTCTGTCATACCACTCCCCCCTCGGCGCCTACCCCTGCCACCCCGACCTGCAGGCCACGCAGTACTTCTCCTTCTCGCTCGCCGGCGAGCTCAGGGACGAGTTCAACTGCGCCATCGTCAAGACTACCAGGTAACTAGTGGCGCTATGTTCTGTCATACCACTCCCCCCTCGGCGCCTACCCCTGCCACCCCGACCTGCAGGCCACGCAGTACTTCTCCTTCTCGCTCGCCGGCGAGCTCAGGGACGAGTTCAACTGCGCCATCGTCAAGACTACCAGGTAACTAACTAGTGGCGCTATGTTCTGTCATACCACTCGCGAGTAAGTGGTTAATCGTTCACCTATATTAAATGTATGAAATACTATCTTGTACCATTGACTTCGCCCGCGTTGCCGTGGGATAAAAAGCCTATGTGTTATTCCATACCATAATTTACCCTGTTCCAAATTTCACCCCGATCTCTTCAGCCGTATTGACGTGATTGAGTAACAAACATACAGACAAAGTTTAGCATTTATAACATTAGAGTAAGGTAAGTTTAGTTATACAGTCGCTTGTTGAACGATCAGTTCCCGAGAGTCCGGCGGTGCCGACCCGTCCCGGCCGGTGGTGATGACGGCGTGCAAGGCGGGCGAGCGCGGCCAGCGCTGGCGCCGGCTGAGCTCGGGCCAGCTGCAGCACGCCGCCACCAAGCTGTGCCTGCGCGCGCCAAGGGACATCGGCGACGTCAGGGCCGACCCCTGTCTCACCGGGCCCGGACACACCGACCAGATCTGGACCATCGACTATACCGAGGATAACAACTTCCATGCCAGTATGTAGCATTCAGTAATACTCACTATATTCACTTATACTCACTACACTTGTTTACACTCATTACAGTTGCTTATACTCACTGCATATAGTCAGTAAAACCCACTATATTAGCTCACAGTCACTCATTGGTACTCACTAGTTCGCTACACTCACTATATTCACTACACTTACATATCTCACTCAGTGGTCCTCACTGGATTTAAGTGGATTTGCTTACACTCACTCAGTGGTACTTATTACACTTACTTCAGTTTCTAAACTCGGTTGTACTCATTATACATAGCTTACTACACTCATTTATTGGTACTCACTCCACTCATATACTCACTCACTTTCTATAATACTCACATTAAATCATTTCATTCATAGAAATAGAAATTTATTCGCAGGAACATGTGATACAATCCATCCTAGTCTAATTTTTTCCAGTACAATGTATTCCACATTTTCCAGGCATGCAACTGTTTGTTTCTTACATTAAATACAATATAAATCTAATTTAATTTATTTAATTATTAAGTAATGTTAAGACAATGATTTCAAAATGTAAAATACAAGTCAAGGCGTCGTTGTGTGAATTATAAAGCAAGTAGAGTAATATTGTATAACAGTCACTGTCCATTACAGACGAGCTCAGGTTCGGCGTGGAGAGGGAGCAGCGACTGAACAGACTGCGCGGGCAGAGGTCGGTACTCGTACATACATACATACACACATTGCAATAGACAGGTAAAAAATAATAACACACCCGCCATACCTGAGGAGTTACTAGGGTATTGCCGGCCTTTTAGGGCCGTCCGTTCATCACGTGAGGTTTTTTAGCGTCATTTTACCAAATTAAAGTTTAAAAATACTTTCATACTACGTCAGGAAGTGCAGTGAACCCATATTACAGCCTGTTCTAACGTTAAGAAACTGCGTGTTTGATGAAACTATAAATACAAGTGATATTTTATTGAGCCCCCCGTCCCCCTCGTGATGTTTCATGATTTTTTGTCAAACCCCCTTCCCTAATTATGCGTCACGTGATTAATGGACGTCCCCTTAGGGATTAGAGACTTAGAGATTTTGTTGATTGGTTTTCACTGTCCTCCTCACTCACAGCGCTGTGCTAGTGTTGAGAGTTGACTCATGGTACAAACGAAGCGCTTCGCATCAAGCTTCCTTGTGCGTACTGCTAAGGAATGGAATTCTTTGCCAGAATCTGTATTTCCTGAAGGGTTATAACCTAGTTGTCTTCAAGGCCCGAGTGAATAGGTTGCCGCTCCATCGTAGACCGCATCATCGCTTACCACCAGGTGAGATAGTGGTCAAATGTCGGCCCGCCAAATATATATAAAAAACGAGCAGACGGGTCACCTGATGGTAAGCAATCACAGTCGCCCGCGGACACCTGGAGCACAGAAGTTACAGGGTGCGTTGCCGGTCTTTTAGAAGAAATGTGAGCTAGTGCCGCAGCATGGCTCTCTGACGTGAAGTAATGGGCATTGGCTGATACAGTGACGACCTGTGCCAACCGCCGTACTCAACGTCATTGAACGGTCACTCAACCCAGTCCTTAGAGATTGTTTTCGGAATCGTTACGGCGTCCTCACCTACCGCCTGACGCAGGTCCTCACCGGACATGGGAGCTTCGGGAGGTAACTGTGTCTGATAGGACGGGAGTAAACGCCAGGGTGTTATCACTGCAAGGACCGCCCTGAGGAAACGGTGACTGAGCACCGCCGTGCAGCGAAACAAAGTCTCACCTAACAGTACCAGTAAGGGGTTAGTTTAGGTGCTACGTCACGTTAAATAAGTTTTAGTTTAGGTGTGGTTTAGGGGTGGTTGGTGAAACATTTAATTAAGCGTCAGTAAGGCAAGTAATACGTAATTATATTGTATACAGACGTATCTCCCGGTCACTATTGTCCTACTCGGATACGAACTCCAACCTATTGGACGACACGCGAGCAGAGGACGAAGGGAACGCCACCATTAGACGACATTCACACAAGGTACGGAATTATATTATTAAATTAATTTCAAGTTTTAAAAAGAGAAATGACATGAGTAGGACTCGAATACTACACCATTTGGTTTAGTTCAGTTGTCATGATTAGTAAATAAGCGAAGGACCCAAAATACTTCCTTGTGGAACTCCAAAATTAACAAAGTATTCCTCTCTCAAATTTAACCTTTAACACAAAACGTTTAAGTTTGAAGCATGCTTTTGAATGAAAGCAATGACGTGTTAGATGTATCTACATTTCACTGATCTCGTGTGTCAAATATGTGGGTTTAGAAAGACAGACCGAGTCAGAAGCTTTAGAGAGATCTTAGAAAAGTTAGGAATTGATTTACGATGAAGTCTATAAGAATATATCGCTTGCTATTGAGTTTCTTGCTTGTTATTGTGCAATGAGCCCCTAGCTTCACAGACAGACAGAATATTAACGTTTTAAAAGTACTTTTTACAGTCTTCAACGGGGCATAGATATTTTGCTGACATTAAGATCGGTACGATCGCGCGATATTGCTTAGATATATAATCACATTTCAAGTAATTATCGAGCAGTTTGTTTTCACTAATAACGAAGTAAACAACTAATGAGAACGGAATTACCGACTGGGCTATACTGGACTAAACTTAGGCGCAATAAACTTTGTAGTCACATTATCGGAGTGATCTTTCGTCTACACACTCCAACATCAAGTGTACGAATCGTACCTTAAAATAAATATTTAGATTTTGACTAACTTTGTCTCCGCGCCAGTACCATACAACACATAGTTATCGTTAACGCCATCGAACTCGATATTCTACAAAGCCACATCGATCCCTCCCTCATACACAGAGCAAGCACCACAAGCATCACGGACGCAAGCGAAGCCGCGGCAAGAAGCGAACGAAGAACAAGTTCATACTGAAGATAATGAGGACCTTGATGAACGGCACCGAGGAACATCTGGAGGTGGACATCCACTGCAAGCATCGACAACTGTTCCCCAACAATACATTCGTCCGGGACCTCGTCACCATACTCAATGAGAAGAATGTCAAGGTACTGCCACCCATCTTACATACAACTTAGTAAAAAATCTTCGGGAATAGAAACTTTATACAAGTAATGTAAGAAATCGGTTTCATTTCATTTCCATATATTTATTTTAAATTCTCTATAAAATACATTTTTAAATACTACTTACAAAAACATAAAAATAATATTTAAAAATATAAAAAATAGGAGCCGACCAGTAGCGGGAGCATGGTCCAAGCTACCGGTGGTTAGGGCTCCAGAGACAGAAACCTCCTCACGATACGTGCCGTTTCAAGGAGAACTGCCTTCTGTATCAGGCCCTTGACCCAACTGCCTAACGCTAGCCTCCTAAGGTGGTTGTCGAGGCTATTAGGGATTAACCCATTGGCCGATACGACTATCGGCACAATGATAGCCGAATCTACATTCCACATGTCGACAACCTCGTGAGCCAAATCAAGATATTTGATTTGTTTATCTTTTTCAGCTTTCACGAGGTTCTCATCATGAGGAATAGTGATATCATTTCATTTATTGTTATGTTTTTCGGCTTACTCATGTAAGCGGGTTCCGGAAACAACGCAGTGACTGCCACGCTGTTACTCAGCCTCTCGCATGGCGTGAAACTAGTCGAGTTCCTTGTCAAATAATAATACGTGAGGAAGCCGAGAACATAATAATTAATTTAGTATGTCGCACGAAACTTATAATGACTTCATTTCGTTTGAGATCTGCTATAAGATTAACATATGTAGTTTGTTAGCATTTCTTTTCTGATTCTTCTGTTTTGCTCATTGTTCATCTTACTTCCACTGTCACAATTTTATTGTCATTTTTATATTTTATTTATGCTGCATCGTGCCTGGTGCTGCATAAATGTCCATTCTTTAGTATAAATATTAGTTTGATAACAATGAAATGTCTTGCTTGTTCTTCTCTATCATCATTAGCCTGTGAGAGTCCACGTGTGGACTACATGCCTCCTCTACTTAATACCAGGTTGTGGAGATCGCAGGTCAGGTTCAGGTTTTGTGCGATTGTTGCTGGAATGTGTAGCTCCTTAATCGAGTCTACGACACCCACGAGATGAATAGCGGTGGTAGCAAATTGTATTTGTGTTTCAACAGGTGATAAACAACGGCCGCGTGTTCGAGCGCAACAAGGTGACGGAGCTAGAGCAACAGTCGCATAAAGTATTGAACAAGTTGGACATCGACCCCTCTCCCGCCGCGGCCCCCGCCCCCATGCAGCCCCCTCCCCCCCGACACCAGCTCGCGCCGCGAGGGAACGGCCTGGCGCAGATGAGGGAAGGGGTCAGTATCAAACACCATAATTATGTAATATTGTACACTAACTCCTCTCTTCCTGATGCAGTTCAAATCCCCTCAATCCTTAAATCCCTGACGCCCCAAAGACCCCCCTGACAAACAACAAAACAAACTTACAACAAACTCCTCTTGTGTTGCGGATGTACTTGGACGGGCCGATTGCTTACCATCAGGTGCTCCGTCTGCTCAATATATACCTTATCCACGTGAATAAATCTATGTTCTTCTTCTGTTAACCCTATTGTAAAATTAATTTAAAATTAAAAAGAATAATATAGAAAATAATAATTAAGTACCTACATACAGTTTCTTGCTCGTTCTTGTCCATAGAAATCTACACTTTGAAACTATCAGATACCTTCACTATCTTTCAAAAATTCCTTTTTTGGTCGAAATGAAATATAATGATCCAATATCTTTTTCTCCCTAACATATACACTGAGACAGCTACCTCATTAACCTGATCTCGTTGTATCGACAGGTTAAGCAACGAGTTAAGAAAAACAAATCAAACCCTTCCGTACAGTCAGTGATCAGACAGGAGCCCGCCAGCGACGCACTGTCACAGCTGGGGAGCATGACCCCCGTGGCGGGGCCCCCGCGTATAGATATCCCCCCGCGACAGACCTCCCACGGGAGGCCGCGGGACGGGGACAAGAAAATCATCATCGAGGACTTCGTCGAGGTGAAGCGACTCTCACCCACCCCCCCGCACCTACCACCACATGGGGGGAAGGAAGGACATCCACAGGTACAGTACTGTGACGTCATGGTTATACGACATCATCATTATTTTTAGTTAATAATGTTTTATGGACCCCCGCGTGGCTTTAAACTAGTCGAGTCATCGCGTCAAATATTTACGCGAGGAAGCTCTATAACATAGATATTAGAATACTTTGGTCGCGTAGCCGTAGGTACCTGTACACCATACCTAGTATATTATTATTTCCATTCCCCAGCGCCCTCGTAAACGTAAACGCAAGCGTAACCGCACCGCGACTGCGCTCCCTCCCCCTTCTCCCCCATCCTCTGCACCCTCGTCTCCCCCTATTCCTCCCGCCGTCGTTCCCTTGTCCTCTCCTCATGAATTACTTCGCGAGCGACTGGACGACTCTACCTCCGACGAACACTCCTCTGGAGACAAGGAGGACTCCATGGAGGACAAGACACTACAGAAGGATAGCATGGACCGATCCAGTGGACTGGAGGACTGGCCTATCGGTGAGTAAATATATTCATTTTTTATATGCAATAGGTCGACGTTTGTCCACTATCTCGGCTGAATACGGTGACCAAAGCGACCGACATAACTCATAATGTGCAAACTGAAGTGGTATGGGCCACGGCGCTGCAGGACTGATGGTAGATGGGTCAGAAAGGTAATCGAGTGGCGACTTAGGGTGGGCACTCCCACTGAGTAGACCGACGACGTCGTCAGTCGCGGGGAGCCCGTGGATGCAGGGGCGATGATGATGTGATAGGTGACTGACTAGCCACAAATAATCACAGTGTCCACATCGACTACAGGTGAGTCTCGGTTCCGCCGCAACAACTCCCGCCCCCAGCGCCGCAACGACATCGAGTCGCAGTCCAGCGAGCGCGCCGCGCGCCTCGAGCCGCGCCCCGCGCCCCGCGCGCCCCCGCCGCGCCCCGCGGCCCGCGCGGCCCGCCCCCGCGCCCCGCAGCCCCACGTGCAGGGCCCGCTGGGTGACCACGACACCGAGACTCGCAAGGACACCGACCTGGAGTACACGCGGGACGAGGTGACTCATACATACTTCAATATTAGCGATATGTTATAACTGCGGGCTTAGTGCAACTGTGGTATACATTAGCGCGTTGATGACGTTCAGCGCTCTGATTGGCTGCTCCGAGCTAACCCACCAATCAGAGAATAAGAAACAAACTCGCACTAGGCGCTCTGGGCGAATTGTATATACACCAGAACGCTAACCTTTAAAAAAATGAGTAATTTGATTGAAACGACGACATTTTCATACGTGAACACTCTCACGTCGAGCTGTGCGAGCTGTAGGCAACGACTCTATGTATGTATAAGTAGACGTGTCACGTGAAGCAGACACTGACGTCTGGGTGTTACCACACCAACCGACCGATGCCATCGACGTCGATCGACAGTTTCTAATCGACCATCGACTGGCCATCGAGCGATTGGTCAGTCGACCGGTATCCGTCGGTCAATTCAAGCTACCACACCAAATCAACGATCAACGTGGACCGATGTCGATTGATTGGTCGAGCGATTGCTGTGGTAACACCCTAAAGCGTAGTGGACCGGAGCTATAGCGCGGACCTGTAGCTCCGGTGTAGTGGGTGTGTAGTACACGCGGTGGATGGTTGCAGCCGCTGGACCAGTCCGCGGCGCCGGTGAAGGTGGTGATGCGAAGTAACCTCACCTTCAACCTCGGAGACGAGTTCTTCGCCTGGAAGAACGGCGCCACCGACGACCTCGTGTGAGTGCCCTTCTTCACCAACATTCTTCCTGCACACGCAGATTACACCTGGCGAGCGCCCTAGGCACGCACCTCATAGGCGCCTCTAATTTATTCTGGCGCCGCCACCCTATGGGCAGTTGGGCACGCGCCCTCTGTACCCTAGCGCCCGGCTCTTATCTAGTTTGCCTTAGAGATCTTACGGCTCTGCTTCCGTGACACGTCGCCATAGCTAGCTATACTGACACTCGACTCTATTGTACAGGAGTGAGTTCCTCGGCGAGCTCACCATCCCTTCCAACACCACCAGTAGCGAGACGTCCACAGTCCGCACTGAGCGCCCCACTAGTGGACAACACTCCGACTCCTCCTCCGACAGCAGCGGCGGCGACTGACCGTGACGTCACTACCTCACTAGACATTATGACGTCACGCGAGTGCGACAATGTACTACGGCAAGAATCACGGCGGGAGTAAGTTTACGTATCGTGTATGTTCGCAATATTTGCCTTTTAATACAAGTTCGTATTATTATTCTTAAGTTCCTAGTAGATATGTTTAAAACTAAATTATGAAAACCATTAAATAATGTGAAAATACATTATTCGCGAACTTGTCCCCACCGCGGAACATATTGCCATGGTTCATGCCGGGGACTATATTAAAATGTAAATATGTATATCGCAATGTCAGTCACAGGGCCTCGTACGAGTTCATTTTACATTTAACGACATCGGAACGTTACCGCGTGCGGCGCTCTGATTGGCTGGTGCACTGGAGCCGACCAATTAAAGCGCCGAGCGTGGTCTCGTTAAACAAATTCGTACCAAGCCCTCATTACCTTCATACGATTACATATTATTACAGTAATTAGGTAGTTCCGGTTCAAATTATACTAAAAATATTTATTTATTAAGTTATATTTATTATTCTCATATACGTTCTGCATTTATTGATTTATTTAATTATTTTTTCTGTAAACAAGAACCTGTCATCACTAAGATTACCAAATAATAATATTTTTGATATGAAATTGAAGCGAGTGTAGTTAGTAAGAATATGAGGAGTGTGTTCTTCAGTCGTTTCAGCCAGATGACAATAGAACCAAGACTTCAGAACTGAGCAAGGAGAATGTATTGTTAAAGTTTATATTCCTAACTACTTTTTTACCAACGAGTTTGCCTGCATTAATTAGCCTGGGTCCTTCTTTGTATTTTGATCCAGCAGTAGTTGTTAATGTTATGCCTTGAATAAATAAAATAAAATATAGTTGAGAGGTGACAAAGTTACTTTAGTACATTTTACTTTACATTCGTAATAATGATATTACAGTTTGGGTCGTAGTGGAATACCGCAAGGCAGTGTTTCTTATCTGGGTGAAATAACTCGAAGTTCATTTAATATTTAATAGTAATAATTACTTACGTCCTATGAAACTTGCATTTATATTGATACTAATATGTATAGTGTATACGTGTGGTCCGTCCAATGGCCGATGTCGGCCAGTGTTTGTATTACAATAACTATTATTAACTATAGAGACGCTAGATGTTGTAAAAATAAATATTGCGAGAAATGCAAGTAACGGTTGAAATTTAATACCATGTACTTGTGTTACGAATAATTTTCGAGGGTGCTTGACTAATTTCGAGTCACACCGGGGCTCATAATTATGAGTCGGCTATGGGGTTCGAAAATAGTCGAGCATCTTCGAGAATGTTACTTGAGTAAGATTATTATTTAATATTATGTTCTAATTACAGGAAATACTATTTATGTTAACATTTTAATTTAAGTTTACCAACTACTATATTGCATTTCTGTCAAGAACTCAAATCGATTCAAAGGTTATGGATTAATCGATTAGTTATGAATGTAGGCCCAAGACAGTAATGTACAGTGTTTGTTCGCGGGCCAGTCTCAGAGTTAGTGTATTTATTTAATTTCGTGTAATATAAGAGTTTATCGAATTTAACGTTCGTTGCAATTATCAATAGATTTTGTATAATAATAATTACAGGCGAGGCTCGTTAATTCGAAACTGGAAACTTCTTGAAATATTTCGAATTACTCAATGTTCCAAATATCAAATGGTCCGTAATTTGATTTGTCTCAAAGTGCCTGATGTCTGAATACTGAAAAAGTACTCAATTTTAAGTCGCGTTCATGCCTTGTTCACACTACACTAGTATTTGGGTCGAGTAGCGAATATACAGTAGTCCGTTATCGTTTCTGTCCCAAAATGGAAGTGAGAGAGAACTACTAAATAATCGCAACTCGACTACATTACTAGCGTCGTTCGAACAAGGCATTCAGTACAAATCACTATCACTACATAGTATAAAACAAAGTCGCTATCCGCCGTCTGTCTGTCCTTATGTATGCTTCGATCTTTAAAACTACGCAACGGATTTTGATGCGGTTTTTTTAATATTTAGAGTGATTCTTAAGGGAGGTTTATATGTAGAATACATCCATATTGCACCCGTGCGAAGCTGGGACTGGTGGTTAGTTATTTATAAAAAGACAGAGATGGCACGATATTTAAGTACTAGTTAAAATTGACTTGCTTTTCAATGTACGGCCGTGAATTTGGAAAATTCTGAGATCTTCCTGTCTTTATCTCTCTGCAACTCCGAACTGTCGGGAGGTCGACGCCCGTACGTTCGTACTATCGAGTCGTTTGGTTACGTAGAAATGTCCTTTCTTTTTGTTTGAATTACCATGTGTATAAAAATGTATTCAAAATTTACATATGTTTGAAATTTAAGGAGATTTCCTAGGGACCTCGTGATGACTTCAAATGTAGAAAGAAGTGTTTTCGTCCAATCACAGCATCTGTCAAATATTGAACGTCCAATGGTGTGACATTAGATAATTTCCTATTGGACGAAGATCGAGAGGATCGCACTAGCGCCATCTGGTGACCAAAATGCGGTACACCCATTATAGAGAGGTTCAAATTATCAAAGGTTTGAATTAACGAGGGTCGACTGTATGTTGATGTAATAGACTTATATGACATATCACTGTCGCTCAATATTGAGAGAATACGTGGAAGTAGGTAAGTAGAGAGGCCCTGAATAACATGAATTTGAAGTTTAACATTACTCTGGAATTCTTATTATTAGATTTCTACCTTGTTGGTTAAGGGGTTTCGGGGTCGATTCCCGGATCAAGCAGTTAATTTAGTACTTTCGGCTTGATATAATACTGAATACTTGATACATATTGTACATACATGTACAATACTTGACACACAACTAGTGGGAAGTGGGAGTTACATTGTACACTTGGGAGCAACGAAACGGAGCCACTAGCTCTAACTCTTTTCCATTTCTTGGTAATTATTTCCTGATACAAGTATTTTATTAATTGGTATCGTATGTCGTTTTTTATGGGATAAGCCGGTTATCGAGCAGACGAATCACCTGATGGTAAGCAATCAGCGTCGCCCATGGACACCTGGAATACCAGAGGCGAACAAGTGCGTTAGTGACCTTTTAGAAATTCGAGGATTGTGGGAATTTGGGGATTGGGGAGACTTTGGGAATAGGGCCTCCGGTAACGTCACCCACACGACGAAACACAACTCAAGCGTTGTTTAACGTCGGTTTTCTGTGAGGCCGTGGTATCACTCCGATCGAGCCGGCCCATTCGTGCCGAAGCATGGCTCTCCCATACAAAAAAAAATTGTTTAATATTTCCTAAGACAAGTATTTTCTTAATTGATAACATATGGCGTATAGAAGGCAATTGAGTTACCTTTACAATGAGAGCAATTTGTTGTAAAAGAAATACTTATTTTAAAGTTATACAGGGTTTGAAGAGATGATAGAATCGCTGGCAGCTCCGTTTGTTTGCTGCCAAGTGTATGTGTGCACCTCTGTCTACCTCTGAACCTCTCTAAGATATGACGTTATCTTTATAACGACTAAATACTGTATCATGTTACTCAGGGCCTGTAATAAGTCGACGCTCAACCACACGTTAGCATAATATTATTATAGTATAGTTAAAATACGAGTGTTTGTCCGTCCATTCATATCCATCACGTCACTGCGAGTCGCTAGTAGTCTTGCAGCAGTTGTAGGCTATGTAGTGTCGAGATAGTCCAGTCAACTGATGGTAGCGAGGTAGAATGTCGTGGTGAGCAGAGCCGTATTATACCTTAGGTAAGTGTCGGGCGCCAAGGCACAGAGGGCGTATGCCCAACTGCCCATAGAGAGGCGGCGCCAGAATAAATGAGGGGCGCCAATAAAGTGCTTGCCTGGGGCGCTCTCTAGGTTTAGTCCGCCTCTGCATCACCTAACAATGTTAATGTAACTAGGGGCCAAATTATTGTAAAAATGTTAAACTTTAGTATTGTTAGTGTCCAGTCAATGCACTCGACGCAATGTTCCTGTACTTAATAACTACTTTACTATATAAATATAATTATAATAACGATGGCTGCCGTATTTTTAACCGACTTTAAAGGAGGAGGTTATCAATTCGGCTGTACTTATGTTTTTTGCTCACTAGATACTCTCTGTAGTCTCTTTGAATGTCCGGCTCCGATGAACCGACCAATCAGAAGCGGTGAAGGTGTTAAAATAAACTATTACTAAGCCTTTTTATACTAACTATCGTGAGACATACTACATTAACTATAAATCGCGGGTTAGTCGCGTGAATAAACTGACTATACTGAATATACTATCAGTAGGCTGCGCGACGTCGCCGCGACCACGCACGTGAATATATTGATAAAAGCTCTACTAGGTTCGAACTACAGAGGGGTTCTACCTCATGAGCACCGTGCGCGGTCGCGGCGACGTCGCGCAGCTCACTGGCTGGCGTCGGCGCTCGCCTCGGTGCTGCCACCTGCGCTGCGAGCCCAATTAGAGTTATTATAAAAACATAGTAGAGCTTTTCTCATAAGTAACCCGCGATTTTTAGTTAATTTATACTAACCCCTCTGATTGTCTATTAGATAAATGAGACCTAACGCTACATTCGCGTCATCTGGTGAGTAACAAATCATTGAATAAGTATGTATTGTACCGGAGAATGTTTAGTTAGAGTTACAGAAATAGTTGCTGTGTCAACATTTCGGAGGAACTCGATTATTGTTTAGAATATTTGTGTCGTATTGTGAAGTATCGTGCAGTGCGCCCGTCTCCTTACACCGACCTACTCGTTGGTAATCACCGCGTTTATATTTTTATTGAATACATTACAATTATCTTTATATGAACAAGTTACTCGATAGATTGCTTCACAAAAATGTCAAAAATGTTGTAGAAACCAACTCGGTGTCTTCCTTCAGTCATTGTTAATTGTTAATAGAGGAGATGATTCATTTATATTTAAATATCCGTCCGGTAGAATATTTTGAAACTTTAGACGCGTA